TTATTTAAATATATCTAATTTTTAATTCTAATTATTATTATAAATATCGCTAATTTATTCTAGAATTATTAAATATACTTTTATATACTTTTTATATCTAATCTTTTTTTTATATATCGCGAGAAGATAGCTTAAAGAAATATAACTTATTATATTAAGCTATAATACTTTTAAAAGAATATTAAGAAATATATTAACTTTTCTAAATTAACGATTTAATAAAAAGGCTATAATTATAATATATATAATTTTATATTAAATAGCGATATCGAAAATATATAATAGATATATAAAATTATCGTCGACGACTTTAATTATAAAGTATCGGCGGATTTCGCGCGGCTAATATTAGAGAAAGATAAGCTTTTCTTATTACTAGTAGATATAGCTCGCTTTCTTTTATATATATAAAGTAATAAAATATAATTATATTTAATTTTATATCTTATTAATTTAGCGTAATTATTAACTAGAATAATAATTAGAATAACTACTTCTAAATATAGAAATCTTAATCGAGATATTTTATATATATATTATTTTATAATATAATATTATAGATATATTATATCGTAAAATATCTCGCTAAGATTTTATATTATATTAGATATAAAATTATATAAATCTTAATAACTTATATTATATTAGAGTATAATATAGTAGGTTAATATTCTATATTATATTATATCTTTTCGACAATAAATTTATTTTTTTTTTTTTTTTTTTTTTTTTTTTTTTTTTTTTTTTTTTTTTTTTTTTTTTTTTTAATTTTTTAATTTTTTTTTTTTTTTTTTTTTTTTTTTTTTTTTTTTTTTTTTTTTTTTTTTTTTTTTATTTTATTTTTTTATTTTATTATATTTATTTTTTTTTTTTTTATTGAAAATTTTTTATTATTTTTTTTTATTTTTTTTTTTTTTTTTTTTTTTTTTTTTTTTTTTTAATATTTATTTTTTTTTTTATTTTTTTTTTTTTTTTTTTTTTTTTTTTCTTTTTTTTTTTTTTTTTTTTTTTAAAGTAAATTTTTAATTTTAATAATATAGTTATATTTTTTCGACTTTCTTATAAATTCTTAATATATCTTTTTAAGTAATATAATATTTTATTTATAGTTAATAAGACTTAATAAGTATTTAAATTCGAGTCTTATTATTATAATTAATACTTTAAGTATTAAATATATTAATAAAAGATAATTAAGATAGAGAATAATAAGAAGATTTCTATTTATTATATTATATAAATAAGACTTATATATTAAAAGTCTTTATACTCTTTCTCTATTTCTTTATACTATAACGAGTAAAGGCCTATGAATTAAATTCATAACCGTTTTTTTGATCAGGGCTGTCGAGTAAATTTGGTGAGCGGTCTTTGGTGAGCGGTCTTTGGTGAGCGGTCTTTGGTGAGCGGTCTTTGGTGAGCGATCTTTGGTGAGCGATATTTGAATGCCTTGCCTTTTAATAATTATAAGACTGAATTTCGAAATTCTTAAAGCATTCAAAAGCGCAATCTACGCTCTATAATTTAAAAAAAAAAATCTTAAAATTTTAATAGAAAATAGTAAAGTTATTAAAGGGTTAAAAGTAGGGTGAGAGATTTTGATGGTTGCGGACGCTAATTTATTTACCCGCGGTGAGTCAGCCGGTCTAACCAAAGAGCGTAGTGACCCTGAATTTATGATTGGCTGCACATACAAATTCAAGGTTTTCTAGTTCAGCCCTACCTTATTCTTTTATATATACTGATTAGTACTTTAATATTATTACTATTATATATTCTATTAATATCGCTATTATATATATACTTCGCATATTTATACTTCGTATATATATACTTCGTATATATATACTTTATATATATATACTACGTCGCTATTATATAGAGTACTAGTACTTATTAAAATAAAGAATAATAATACTATTTATGAAATTTGAAAGTATATTAAGTACTTAGCTCTATCTAAATTCTTATCTTAATATATCTAGAACTTTTAATATCGATCTTCGTATAGAGTATAGCTTAGTTTAATAAGGTATATGTTGAAATATAACCTCCGCGCATCCCAGCCACTATGATTTTAGCCTCCGCGTATCTCAGCCATTATATTTTCCAGCCATTTAATTTTATACTATATTTAGAGGCCTCGGAGAGGTTTTAGAGAATTAATCCGTCCGTTCTATATATTATATATCTGAAATTCTAATAGGTTATAAGCTCGATCTATAGGGTATATAGGCTAAGTCGCTATAATATTAGCTTTCTATAAGACTAATTCAGATATAGAGTTATAACTACGTCGTCGTATCGTCGTAAAGAATCCTCGTCGTTATAAAAAACCCTCGTCGTCGTAAAGAACTCTCGTCGTCGTAAAGAATCCTCGTCGTCGTAAAGAATTCTCGTCGGAATAAAAACTCGATTACACTGATGGGCGAGCTAGTACTCTTTCTCTCTTTTCTTATAGAATTTTTTAAGATTTAATAAGATCGACGGAGATAATGACATAGTAATAAAGAGGAACGTCGCGAAGGACTATAGATAATATCTATATAAAATAGCTATATTACTTCGAGATAAAGTATTACTCTTATTATCTAGAAAGGATATTATACTCTAGAGACATATCATATTATCTTAGAAAGGGGTATTACGTTAAAAAGACGTATTATCTAGAATAGATATTAAATGTTATATTAGAAAGACGTATTATCTAGAATAGGTGTCTGTTACGTTAGAAAGACGTATTACACTAGGATGGTGTGTGTTAAAGCTAAAATAGCCTCTTGTTGAAAGGCTGGAATGGCCTCTTATTGAAAGGCTGGAATGGCCTCTTATTGAAAGGCTGGAATGGCCTATTGTTACGGCTGGAATTGCCTGTTCTTGTTACGGCTGGAATAGCCTGTTGTTGTTGAGGCTGGAATGGCCTGTTATTGTTACGGTATTATTGTTGAGGCTGGAATAGCCTATTGCTATCGAAGGCTAGAATGGCCTATTGTTGGGAGTTGTGTATAGCTTCATTTCTTATTAGGTGAACTGGGAGGGGGGGGGGGGGGGGGTTTTTTATGTTGCCCCCCCCCCCCCCCCCCCCCCTTTTTTTGTCCCCCCCCCCCCCCACCCACCTTTTTTTTCCCCCCCCTTTTTTTTTTTTTTTTTTTGGGCCCGGCCCGGGGGGGGTTTTGGGGAAAAAATCCGTCCGTTTTACCCCCCACATACCTGAAATTCTAACAGTATATCCTGCTGTAGCATCCTTCCATAGAATTCATCATCCTTGCTACCCACACCAGACTGGTACCATAGCACAATTGCAGGGACTTTTGATACCCACCCTCGGCACCTTAATGGATTATGTCGGTATATAGGAAAATCGGTGATAATATGGTGGTGCGGTTACGCACAAAAACGTAAAAACATAAGGACCTCTCGTTAGAGTTTCGTAAGGTACAAAGCATTAGTTGGCCATCTATGACTTTGCTTGATAAAATGACACGCTTGTTTCAATCTGCTGCCAGAATTACTATTTCTCTATCAAGGTGGTCTACGTCAAGCAACACCATATTTCGGCCATGGACTTGCATAGGGCAGCCTCTGGCCCATCACTTTACTCAGGTTCCCAAAATGGGGCACAGAATCAGGCTTTTGTTACTATGGCGAAATGTGTGTGCTGGCCAGGGCAAAGCATGCATGAGCTGAAGATCATGTTCAGCTTATGCATAATACGGACTTTTTGGCAGGCCAAATCTTCGCATGCGGCTGAGTTTTATGATTACATTTGGCTCCTCCAATCTTAAATAATGGAGAACACTAGCTCAAGAAGGCTGAAATATCAGTCTGACATACATGTGACAGGCTCTTCGTAGTTCTGCTCATTTACTGCATCGACTGGCAAGTATTCCCGCGCTATAAGAATTCGAGCACTGTGAAACAAGGAGTGCGGTCAGGCTACATTTACCGCAAAGGTGCGCGACCATTTTACGAAAGATGGAACTAAAATTAGAAAAGGATTTTAAAATTTATAGCCGTGGTTGCATTTCTGCTGGGATGCTGCGGTGGTTTGGTAACCTTGCAAAGATCTCCTATGGCCCCTTTCGAATGCACACGCTCCAGTCTCTATGCTCAATGGCAATTTCGCTTCCGCAGAAAAAGTTCTTCGAGTCCACTGTCCTGTCGGTCCCTTCAAATTCCCGTGGATAAGGGCTGTCGTTCCTCTTGGAGATTCTCGCAGTGCTCTTAAAGGCTTATTTGGCTTGTTGTCGAGATCCTTATTGGTCATTCTCTTCGTGGTGCGCGAAATAATGCTCTGCTTTATCAAGTTTCTATTACTCCTGTCTCTACTGAAACATGATAATCATATCACCCTTGCACGTCACACGCTGTCAAGACAAGTTTCATGGCCTTCTGTCATATCTGCATCGAATATGTCCGCAGCTTCACCTTTGGTACAGACCCACAGCAGCTCCTTCACCTCCGCATCTAGAAGTGTAGTCAACAATCATACCTATCGCATAGCCAGTGCCACTACCGTCCCCCCAACCTCATCTTACCTCAATCCCAGTTACGCTGGAAATTATAAGAGCATCAACACCAACCAGAGTCTCAATTCGGGGACCTGTGCGATTGCAGGCGGTCACTGCCCGTCCAAACAGAACAACGAATCTGTGAGAACGACGAACGCCACAGATGTGAACGATCAGTGCGTATTGTGGGATCCTTCCTGCCCAGGGGATAGGACCTTAGCAATAGATAAATTCTTTGATCCCACATTTCAAGGCGATCTTCTAAGGAACAAATGCTTCATCGAGGCGGGATCGATAAATTTAGGGAATTCGTCGACCTGCGACATACACAATTCTTCGGATAGCACGTCCGAGTTTCAAAGCATGAAAAATTGGATGAGATCAAGACAATGTGTAACAGCCAATACGGAATGGGCTGTAAATACCACGGATCTCCTCGATCCTGATTCCCATGTGGCTATTCAAATGGACCCCTATAGTTACCACATCATGTCAGGGGCCAATCCATCTTGCTGTGGCGAATGCGAGCTTGACGTTAAGAATGTAGATGTCTACTACTGGCCCGAGCCTGTTGTCAACACGTCGTGTCTCAGCATCATTGGGGACAGCATCAGACCACTTGATTATGGTGCTACAAAGACCGTGGACTCCAACAATGAGACTACTACCTACTGGGGTTGCGATGCCAGCATGGAAACGGACTACATCACCCGATATAGTTCTGCTATTACGTATCCAGTAGTGACTATAACAGCTAGTATCTCGACTATTGGCTCTTTGCTAATTAAGGCCTCACTATTCGATCCATGGTCCCCATCACCATGTACCGTCAGTGACTTAATGTCCCAGGGGTCGAATATATCCGCAGACATTCGTGTCAAGCATGCAACAATGCACGCACGAGATCACACTTTAATCACCCCGTCTTCCGTTACCCACAATGGTAGTTTACCAGTGACTACCATTGTGTCAGGCAATTTCACTTTGTAAGTCTCTACTTATAGAAAGGTTTCACACACTAATGGGAATATCAAATGTGTTAGTACCTCTCCGTCTGTGTACGCCAGATTCCACGGAATAACAGCAACAGACCAGTGCGGCGGCGTAGTTCTATCGACTACGATGGTCGCCTTCGACCCTGGAGAACTATCAACGATCGCTGGGCCACTTGGGGGGCCTTATGGGCTTGGCAATGCTGGGCTCGGCAATGACGTTAATGGTGGAAATCCATTTTCTACAAAAAGTTTTAATTTCAACGATCTGCCTTGCCCGCCGCAAAGCGTAATGGTACCTACTCGTCGTCAAGTTTATCACGTATCGAGCTGAAGCAATCATCTTAGGAACAAAACTGGTACAAACCACAGCCCGGTGAACCGTACCGCCCTCTTATTGCTATGCCCAGTAAACTGAAGGAGATTGTTCCTTGGTTCTCTAAATGCGACTACGACTACTTCACAGCCTATGATCCCCCCAGTGCCCTGACGGTTGAAACAGCACTAGCCCCACCTATCGTGCAAAATGAGCCGAAAGCTCATCCTTGGGCGCCAGTGCCAAGTCCTACTTTAACTTCAGAAGCTAGACAGATAGTCGGCACCGAAACGTCAATACCTATACCTGCGAATGTCCCTACGTTGGATCAGCCAAAGGCTACAGTTACAACAACTTCGGTTCCCCCAAAGCAGATTGGCCCTCACCCTAATGACCCTGCAACTCACGAGAGTCAGCCGTCCCAGCCGCTGTCTAATCCTGTAGAATCAAGCGGCGATCTCAAAGGAGGCAACGACCCTCAACAAAATAACGATCCTCAGCAAAGCATTGATCCCAAACATGGTTCTGATTCAAGTTCAGTTGGAAATCCTAAGCAAGCCAGCGATCCCAACCAAAGTAATAGCCCAAAAGAAGGCAATGATAACAGTCGAGATCCTGGACAAGAAGCAGATCCCAAGCCCAACAGCGATCCCAACCAAGCCGATGATGGTCAAGGACTAACCCAGAATGCAGGAGCAGTAGCACAATCGGACCCAAAGCAGAACAATGACGCAAATCCTTTCGACAATTTGGCCGAAGGCCAAACCACGACTATAAACAACCAAGCTGTGCAGCCGCTTCCTCATGGCATCTCCATTGCAGGCACTACCTTGACCGCAGGAGCCCCACCAATCACCGTCTCCGGAACCCCAATACAACTCGGTCCGTCCGCTCTCATTATAGGTGCATCTACCATACCTCTCCCCTCCGCAGGTCCCAACTCCATAATCACCACTATCGCAGGCCACGTCATCACCGCCGCACCGAACGCGATCGCGGTCGCAGGCACCACTCTAACAAGAGGAGCACCCCCAATAACCGTATCCGGAACCCCAATCCGACTCGCATCCTCCGCTCTCATCGTAGGCACCAGCACGCTCCCTCTCGCAGCCCCAGCCCTAGCCCCAACCCCCATCACCACCACCATCGCCGGCCAAGCCATCACCGCAGCGCCAAACGCCGTCGCACTCGCAGGCACCACTCTCAACCCCGGAGCCCCCGCCACCACCATCGACGGAACAACCCTCTCCCTCAACCCAGCCGGCCAATTCCTCCTAAACGCTCAAACCATCCCCCTCCCTTCCACAAAAACCCCCTTAACAACCACCACATCCATAGCCAACGAGCCCATCACCGCCGCCCCAAACCTCCTCCTCATAGCCGGCAGCTCTCTCACCCCCGGATCCCCGGGCACCACCATCTCCGGAACATTCCTCTCCCTCAACACGGCCAGCGCCCTCCTCCTCGGCTCCCAAACCATCCCTCTCTTCTCCGCATCCCCTCTCCCCCTCACAACAACCATAGCAAACCACGTCATCACCGCCTCGCCTCACGGAATCGCTATTGCAGGCACCACTTTGACGCCTGGCGCTTCGGGGATTACGCTGGGCGGGACCCTCGTGTCGCTTAATACGGCTGGGTCCGTGGTGGTTGGGTCGAAGACTATTGCGCTGCAGAGCAGTGGTGGTAGTGTGGGACTGGAGGGGCTGATAATGGGGGCGTTTGGGTCGAACGGGCCGTTTGGCTCGGTTACTGGTAGCCCGCCGTCGTCGACGGTGGGGAGTGCTGGGTTGGGAGGTACGAATGGTACGAGCGGTGGTGTGCAGGTTTTTGAAGGGAGGGCGGCGAGGCTGAAAGGGTTGTTTCTGGGGAATGGGATGGTGGGGTCGGTGGGGTTGGTGTTTCTGATGGCTTTTGTGGGGTTTGTGTGCTCAATAACTATGTGTATATAGCTATTTTCTACCTTTTATATACCTTTCTACTAAATCAAATAATACCGTTGGATAGGCTACTTACTCACAATATCTTCTCCATACTTGACAATTCTTCCCACATACCATACCAAATTTGGCGCTCGCCGAAGAGGAAATGGAACGCGCGTTAGAAGACCCGGTGCCATTGTGTGCCTCTCCTATATGACCGATGGATAGAGCAGACGATGTTGACGAGCCGCCTTCCCTCTCTGCACTTTCATAGCTCGGCTGCAGCCCGTCTTTTAATGATATATAGGATATCAGTCTTTGCCTCCTCTTGTGAGCCGAGCGGTACTGCGCTGCCTTCTGAATGCCATGAGCAAGGATTGGTTGGGTTGCACTGAGGAAGGACAGGAAAGGGCGAGCTAGATTTGTGCGTCTGATAGTCCAGATAGATATCTACGCCAATTAGGTTGTGGCAAGAATTTGAGTCATGTTATTCGGCATAGTAACAAGTAGACGCTAAGCTCAAGCATGATATGGCATGAGAATCTTGACCAGGGTCACCATTTTCAGTTCAATGTCATTTGCAATACATGCACTTCAAGGGCTTGCGGGCCGCAAAGGGGAAGGGCTAGGTGGCGGGTTTCAGTGTGTAGACTGAGCTAATATACCACTGTTCTCTCTGTAAACAGTTCGAGGATACCGAGATTAAATACTCTTTCATCCCCAAAAAGGGTGTGATGGATGATTGTTAGAGGAAAAAGTTGATATTGATCTTTCCGTAAACATTCCGAGGACCCTAAGACCAACACTCTTACAGTCCCAAACCCACTCCGACTAAATAGGGGACTGCGGAATCGTTTCCATCGCCCGGCAATCCCATCATTACTGCCAACTCGTGCTTTGTCATCCAGAACGAGCCAGGTACTGTCTCAAATGTAGACCGATGCCACACCAACTACCCTATCCAATCGTTCGATCGACTTCTACCTGGCGGAAATCGAATAGCTTGTCCCTGATTGACTGTCCCCGGATTGCCCGGTTATGTTTCCAATAGAGGTGGCCACCACCCTTGTTCCTATCTCATTGTCAGCATGGTGCTTTCCAGGCGGATGTGAATATTCAAGTTTTCACAATCATCCCAGGCATGCAGCCTTGGCGTCGAAGGACATCCACCAGCCCAAGGCAATCAAAACCGACCCATCATGAATTTCCCTCCCTAACGCACATCGTATCACTTCTTGATGTCAAAAGCCATGGCAATCATCACAGAAGAAGTAGGCGACATCTTCTCCGCGCCCCCAAACAGTATCCTAATCCGTACGTTTCCACCGACCCCCTTCCCCCCAAAACCCGTCCGGCCCCACTGACCACGTTCCAAAGACGCCTGCAATGCCCGCGGCGCCTGGGGCTCCGGGGTAGCCGTCGCTTTCAAACTTTTCGGTCTTTATTTATTTTATTTAACTATTATCCCATCTATTTATTTACTTTTCGCACATTTATTTCATTACTATCCATTTTTTTCCTTCAAACAGAAGTACCCCTACGCCTTCCGCCAACATCAAGCATACTGCCTCTCATCGCCCACGGGCTCCAAGCTCTCCGTCAAACAACACCAAGCCAGTCTCGTAGGCACGGCCCTACTCATTCCTCCACCCACTGCAACAAACCAGCGACAAGCATCCAAGACACCTCACTACATAGCCTGCCTATTCACCTCTCTCGACTACGGAAAAAGGGTCTCGCCTCCGGAGGAAATAGTGGAAAACACAAGAAAGGCGCTCGAAAACCTAGCGAAACAAGTTGCAGAGATGAGAGCAGCGGGCGAAGAGGTGGGCAAGTGCTGTCCGGTAAGGATCAACAGCGGAAGGTTCGGTGTCGAGTGGCAGAAGACGAAGGCGGTTTTAGAGGCTGGAGGGCTTGTTATCACCGTTGTTAGGCCGGAGGCAGAGCAGAAAGCAGATGGGGCAGGTACTGCAGCAGGTGGGCAGTCTCCTGTCAAAGATGAGAATGAGAAAGCAAAAGGTGAGAAATGTGCCGTGGGGACCAATGCAAGGCGGTCCAACCGTTGGACGTCGGGTCGAACGAAGGCTAAGGGTCCGTTTGAAAAACAGACACGCGGGGTGAAGAGGAAGGTTGAGAAGGATTTTGAGGATGGCGACGATGGTCGCGAGGATATGAAGGGGGAAAGGCTGGCATAACTTCATCCAGGAACTGCAAAGCGGGAGAAGCTGAGTCTGGATGGGTAGCCACTCAATGGACGTGATCTGATACTCTTTGTTATAGATAATGAATCCAACACTCCATTGCACACGGCCATTGGTACTGCGTCAGATTCGATTGTCGCCCAGCATCTAAACGACAAGCGCGCCCAGACTGACCGACTAGATAGACATGGCCGAAGCATCGTGAAGCCGTTGAGAAATTCTAGGAGGAAGATTATCATCGGGCCAGAAAAACCGGATCACTTGATAATTAGCACATGAGATTGACATTTTGTTGTGCGCCATATGCGCAGGGAAAATTGAAAGAGGTTCACTGAATTTGGAAAAGTGTAGTCGTGTTGGGCGAATAACTTTTTTTTTAATAAAAAAAAATTTTTTTTTTTTTTTTTTTTTCTTTTTTTCTCCCCCTTTTTTTTTTTTTTTAAAACTTTAATTAAATTTTTTTTTTTTTGTTATAATTTACAAGTAAAGGCCCATGAATTAAATTCATGAAGTTGGATTTTCTAAGTCAAATCGAATTTTAGCCCTAGCCCTAAGTCAAATCGAACTCTGATCGCTTGCTGTGCGTTTTTGACCTACATACAGGTATATATGTGCGGAGAGAGGCGCGCTAAGGCCTAATTAGGAAGGTGTATCGAGTGTGGAGGATTAATCCGTAATAATTGCCCACAAAAAACAGAGAAAGGCCATGTCCTTATGGCAAGAAGTATCGAAATACCGGAAAGAAATGGAGATAACATGCTAATTAGTGGTGTGAATCCCACATTATCTCCTGCCGCAGTGAAATCTTTCGAATAATGAAATAGCTGTCAGAGCAAGACATCGGACGGTTTCAATTCGTCCAAATATGTATCGTCCGATGTTCCTCCTGCAGAGGCCCAATTGGCTGTGATCGTCGCAGTAGATCCTCCTCTTGTGACGTCATTGCAGTGATGTACCATATCAATGCAGTGGGGATGACAGGCCAAGTTGCAGTGGTGTTCTCCGCTTGCTGAGTGATGATTTGACGTGGGATCTTGGAGAGCTGAGCCGTGTTCTTGACGATGGTGGCCTTGTTGCCGCTTGGTTTCTCCGCAGTGTTCTCCATAGTGTTCTCCGCAGTGTTCTCCGCATTTGCCTGTTGTAGTTCCTCCTCTTACTCCTTAATGCAGTGGGGATGACAGGCCAAGTTGCAGTGGTGTTCTCCGCTTGCTGAGTGATGATTTGATGTGGAACCGTGGAGAGCATATGACGTGGGATCTTGGAGAGCTGAGCCGTGTTCCTGACGATGGTGGCCTTGTTGCCGCTTGGTTTCTCCGCAGTGTTCTCCATAGTGTTCTCCGCAGTGTCCGCATTTGCCTGTTGTAGTTCCTCCTCTTACTCCTTAATGCAGTGGGGATGACAGGCTAAGTTGCAGTGGTGTTCTCCGCTTGCTGAGTGATGATTTGATGTGGAACCGTGGAGAGTATATGACGTGGGATCTTGGAGAGCTGAGCCGTGTTCTTGGTGCTGGGGGCCTTGTTGCCGCTTGGTTTCTCCGCAGTGTTCTCCGCATTTGCCTGTTGTAGTTCCTCCTCTTACTCCTCAATGTAGTGGGATGACAGGCTAAGTGCAGTGGTGTTGCTTGCTGAGTGATGATTTGATGAACTGGAAATATGACGTGGGATCTTGGAGAGCTGAGCCGTGTTCTTGACGATGGTGGCCTTGTTGCCGCTTGGTTTCTCCGCAGTGTTCTCCGCATTTACCTGTTGTAGTTCCTCCTCTTGCTCCTCCTCTTGCAGAGTATCAGACTGAGTAGCTAGCTGAGTGGCTGACTGATAGATGACTGAGTGACTGGCTGACGACTGACAAGTGGATTGCTGAGCTGATAGGGTAGGTAGTGTTGACTGAGCGGCTGAGAAAATGGTTAAAACAGGGGATGAAGAACGGATTGGGGAGGAAGACGCGTCTTGGAGGTAGCATCGCCTGGGGGCGCAGTAGGGGCCTAAGAGGCGGGAAAGGGGTGTACGTGCCTAGACGTTAGAACCTTTGGGCGAGGGGTATCGAAGACGATTGTGTTTATATTGGTGGAATTGGTAGAATTGGTAGAAGGTGGAAGAAGAATGGTTACACAAACAGGTGGAAGGATTATCCGGTCCCGGACGCGTTTGGTGACTACTAAATGCTACTTCGCCCACCAATAGTAGGCAAACTTCATAATTTTTACAGCGTTAGAAAGCGCAAAGCGAGCTCTACAATTTGAGGAATTAGAAGTAACTGTAGTACGCAAGCGAGTACTTCAAAGTGAAAACTTCACAACAAATTTTGATGAGGAGGCGCGGAGGGCTACCGGGCTGACTCAGCCGGTCTAACCAAAGAGCGTAGCGAACCCGAATATGATTGGCGCACATACAAATTCAAGGTTTCCAAGCTCAGCCCTACCTTATTCTTTATATAACTGATAAAACATAAACGAGATATTAAAAGCAAGCTTAAAACAAAAATTACAAAACACCATTAATATATCTAAATATAAACAGTACTAATGAAAGAGTAAAAAACAAATTAAAATATTACAAGGGAATATAAATAATAAAAATAATAAAAAAAATTAAAAAGCCAAAAAGTTAAGACTTTATAAAAAAAAGAAAGTAAAAAAAAAAAAAAAAAAATAAAAAATAATAAAAAAAAAAAAAAAAAGGTAAAGAAAAACAATAGTTAACGTAAGATAAAATAAAAAAAAAATTAAAAAAGGGTTTAAATAGTCTCTACCAAAATTATTATAAAAATTAAAGATAAATATCCTTTAAAATATAGCTAGGAAATGAAATTAGTTATAATTATTAAGGTTGTTAATATTAAGACTAGACCATTCCATTAACTCTCGTCTTTAAGAGTAAATATTAATAAAGTACTAGTAAAATAAATCTTATAAATAAGATATAATAGTTATTAGTTTATAAACTAAATAAATCGAAGCTTACTATATAATAATTAATAGAAGTCTTTAATCCCCTATTAAAAAGTAATATACGATATTATATATAACTATTAGTTTTAAATAACTATAATATTATATTATATAATAATTCGTTATAATATATTACGATCGAAGGATTCTTTCTTTATATTTATTTTCTATACGATATATCTTCTATAGTCCTCGATATAACAATTTTAGGCTCTATAGAAATATAAAAATCTATTAATCAAAATGCAGAATAAAAAGCTCTATTAATAAAGATCTATTTATTAATATTTATATCAATATAAGAGTAGATATTTTATCTCGAAGTTATTTAAGCGGGTTTAAAGTTATTAATCTCGTTTTATTAAATTTAAAAGAGGTATATAAGCTTCCTTAAAAGATACTATAATTTAAATTAAAGTTATTAAGCTCATAATTTATTAAAGACTTCTATAAATATATATAAATACATATTAAAAGCTTTTTAAGATTATATATTAAAGCTTATAGTAGAACTTCGACTTCGTAAACTTAAAAGGAATTACTAAACTTTACGCCGATAATATTCTTCTAGATTAATAAAATCGACTATTATTTAGCGAGAATCGAATTTAAAAGATTAAATCTATCTCTCGAAGATTAATATTAAACGACGATCGTCTTATAATAAAAGAATTATATTAATATAAAAAATTTTTTTTTTTAAAAAAAAAAAAAAAATTTAAAAAAAATATTTTTAAAAATATAAAAAAAGAGTATTAAAAGTATCTTCGATAAAAAAACTTTTTCGAAAATACTTTTAAATATAAGTTTATTATTTTAAACTATAAGTTGTGTAGTTAGAAATTCTTTATAATTCTTCTAATAAGATAATAAATTCGAAGAAAGATTTAATAGAGTAAGGCTTTAATATATATTAAGGATCTCGAATATTAAGTTAAAGGTCTTTAAGGCTAGTAATAAAAATAAATAAGATAGATTAAGAAAGCTAAAGAAGTAATATAGTAGTAATGTTATTTGAGGGTAATAAGACATACTCTTTATACGTAGCGAGATACTCTCAAGATACTTAATGACTATTTAATGGCCTATTTAATATTTTATAGTTACTAAATTACTACAAGTGGATCGTCGGCAAAAAGCAGTAAAAGCGAAACATTATCCGTGGTGGACGTTGTAAAGCAGTATGTACCGCTGAGGCAATGTTTTGGAACGTGCAGCCAATTGGGCTACGACAGGGATAGAGCTGCAATGCTTTCCCGTTTCAATTGGAAAGAGTGAAGATAAAAGACCTTTCTGCAAGCAGCGGTAGGTGTAAACTGATCCAAGCTCGAAGAACAATCCCGCAGTTCCTGCACGGATAAACTCATCCGATGTCCGTCTTTAAATCGCTCATGGTGGCAGGCTCTCATTCCAGGGCGAGAGGGAGGTGCCGCAAAGATTGCGCCCCATGCAGATCAGCATAGGCGCCACATCGCAGCATCTGGAGGATGGAACGAGCTGAAAGTGCAAAGATCGGCTTGTCCGCAGTGATCTATCAGATGAAACCGGTTTTTGGGGAGTCGGAGGGCGGTTCAACCTACGTACTCTACTGGAATACGGTCCCCTACCACCAACCAGGTCCCCAGTCAACAACCATGGGCCCCAAAGTTGCGAAACATCAGTCATCTTGGCGACTTTCAATCCTGCATTCCTCAGGGGGAGTGGGAGATGGAATCACTCAGGACCGCCAAGTCGACAGTCTTGGAAGGCGCCAAATCTCGAGAGGTTCCAATGCTTTTAAAGATGCGTATGAGATCATTTCGCGTCCCTAGCATCGAACCTGGCGCAGTCATCCTACATGACGCTACGAATCATTTCATGGTCCCGCTCAGAGTAAGAGACGGTGTAGTAACGCTAGTGCAAGGAATGAGTTGTAAAACCGCCTTTCTGTTACGTATCTCACAATCTATATAGTGAAGAACGCCATGCAGAAGACTTAGGTGGGCATGATGGCGGCGTCTGCCATTCTAAGCCGCGTCCCTATGATCCGAGCCGAAACTTCACAGCCCCGTTCTGCAATGAATCCTTCAGCCTCAACATCCCATTAAAGTCTCACTCAAGGCTGCCATCTCTTCGACAGCAAAAGAACCCCACGCTCCACACACAAAAGCTCGCCGAACGTTCCATTCAAGGCTTGTAGCGATCATGCGCGCTCTTGGTTTCATCGCGATTTCAGCCTGCTTCCTGGGGAAAGCGACAAGAATAGGCGCACAAACATGTTACTTCCCAAACGGCTCCGAGTCCCCTCACAATTACACCCCCTGCGGAGCTCAATCATCCCGCCTGGCGAGCGCATGCTGCCCATCTTTAGACATCTGTCTGGACAATGGCCTCTGTCTTGCCCAGACGGGCAATGAAGTCGTTTGGCGGGGCTCTTGCACAGATCAAAGCTGGGAAAGAGATGGATGTCCGCAATATTGTCAGGATGGTAAGTCTAGTCTGATTGATAGTATGCGAAAGGCGAGAAAATCGTTGTCCCCTCGCTCCCTCTTGTTTTGTCCCCCATGGATATCATAATGTGCACAAGACTGACCAACGCTCACACTTCTGTTTCCTAGTCCAAACCGATTGGGGCGTAACGATCTATCCGTTCCAACAGGACTCCTCCTTTTGCTGTGGACCGGGCAACTCATCATCCAACGCATGCATCAACAGTACACAAGGGAGCACAGCTCCCTTTTTCGTGCGAGCTGGAAGAGTAATATTCAACCGGACATCCGGTTCCATCTCGCCGAACAGTAGTGAAACAGCTACGGTCACTGTCTCATCCACAGCCGCTCCATCAACGACCGCAAATTCGCCCACTGACCCCACAATATGCATTAATCCGCCATCTTCATCTAATAAGTCTAATGTGGTCGGACTTGGAGTCGGTGTACCGCTTGGGCTAGCATTGCTCGGTGCTTTGGGGTTGCTGTGGAAACAGAGGAATCGCGAGCTGGGCGCGAGGCGAGAGGCGCGCGCTTGGGAAGGGAAATATGATGAGCTGAGGAGTGAAAAGCGCGGAGAGTCGATTGGTGTTGAAGGACAGACGCAAGAGCTTAGACATGAGGGCTGGATGCTGGACGAACTTGAGGGAAGTCTTGTCTATGAGGTCGCAGATAGCATCAGATGAGCTTCGTCGGTGGTGGCTATTGGTTCTTTGCAAAGGACGGCCGAAGCACTGAAATGCTAATGCTAGTCTGAAATAATCTTCATGAGCAAATGGAAAACATAACCAAGGAGACTAGGTGAGCGTTCATTTTATCCTCAGTTTAACGAAAGGCATGTGATACGTTGACACCCCTCACATCCGGGTACAGTGTCCGGGTACGAGGGGTGTCTGACCCGACATACTCTATTGCGCATTTCTAGGGGCACTTTCCTGATCAACTTACCCTTAACCCCGAAAGACTAGTCTTGCTGAAGATCCAGTGCACCCAAACAGTGTAGGAGCGAGTGTGTACAGGAGGGGGCCCCGAAGGGAGGGAGATTCCTGTTCACGAGTGACGCACTCTGTAGGTAGCAAGACCACAGCACTTGAGGCACTCGAGACTGCGCCCTAACCGACCAGCCCAGAAGTCGTACCCGGATGTTGGGGGGGGAGTTCTGTCATTGTATCAATAATGGGGTGCCAACGTATCGCGTCCCTTGATAACTACCAAGCATGGCCTTGAGCGACTTGTCTATTCGCCACTAGCGCTCCCTGGCACTCCTACTTCTACTGCCACCACTGTACATGACTCCTTTGCATTCTTATTGAAGTTAACCATTTCCATGAACCAACACGGTACAGTCCTAACATTCCCCTGCGAGGCTTGCCTGACTTCTCGTTGACTCGATAGAACTTCTTCTTTGAACGGCCCTTCAATGACCGAACACTTTTTTCTAGTCATAGCGGTTGTGAAGGAAAGAGAGGAAGAGGGATCCTCCACGTCAGCGATCTAGGCCGACAGCGAGGGTGTGGTGGGCGGGGCATTGTTTAGAGCTAAATCAGCTAATTTAGAGGCGGGATCACCATGGTAACCTCAAGCTCAGTTAGGCACGTTATTTGTTTGTGTAGCTGGCAATCCGCTCCAGCACAACAAAGTCGACTTTGTGCGTTCTACATTCACTGTCCCTTCCGCTCCTAGATTTTGCTCGCGATTCTCCCTGATTGTCTGCCGCACCGGTCTTGAACGCTCGAAGAGAAAACATGACACTTCGTGACTGCGAGTATGAGTCATGCACCCAGCCAGCCGAACGCGATATTGGAAGCTGTATGATTTGCTCCTCGCACTTCTGCGCCGAACATTCACGATTGCCATTCCACTATCCTTCCCAGGTATGTTGCGGCCTAATACCTGTCGATCTTCGAACTTCATTGAATCCCCAAGCAGGACACCGAGTCGGATGCTTACTGGACCGCATACAGTTCCGCGAACAAGAAACATCTTCTACATCGCCTCTACCAAGTCAAGACCACTGCTCTGATCTCCTTGGCTAGCCGCCTCCGGAACGGTACATCATGCACCATTCCCGCGCTTATGCCGGATGGCCAAGGACATCTCGACGTCGATGCCGTTTCACGCCAGATGGGCGGACAAAACTGCAACATCGACGTCCAGTTTGAAGATGGAGTTGTCTGGCTGGCCCGGATCCGCCTTGATGACCCTCTCCTCCCACCAAAACCTACACAAGCGTACATCTTCCTCAGTGAGGTCTTCACGCTTAAGTATCTGGAGAGTACCGGCATCCCCGCTCCAAAAGTCTTCCACTTCGCGACCGAGTCTAGCGAAAATCCTGTGGGAGTGTCTTTCATTCTTCTCGAGAAGATGAAAGGCGCAGCTCTGATGTGGGACACGACCACACCTGCGCAAAGGACCAAAGTCCTAGAACAACTAGCAGATATTCTCCTTGCCTTGGAGAAGCATTCGTTTCATTCTACAGGGTCGTTGTTCCCATCAAACGGATCTAGTAAGGTATGCGGTTTCGCGCAGTCACAGCTCTTCGATTCCCCCAACACTACCCTCGGACCGTTCGACACCTTGGAATCATCCTTGAGAGCGATGCTTGCACATCAGAGAAGGCTCATAGCTAACAACGAGCTGTCAAGTCTCGCCATAGATAACTACCTCTCGCATCGCTGGCGCGAGGACATGGTCCCGGAAGTGCTGTCGCTGCACAACGACGCCGGCTTCTTTCTAAAACACTTCGACGACAAGGGTGACCATATCCTGGTTGACGACGACTTCAACATCACCGGCATAATCGACTGGGAATTCGCGTCCGTGGAACCCAAAGCGCAAGCATTCAGCAGCCCCTGCATGCTTTGGCCAGTGAGGGATTTCCACGCCGGCAGTAATCGGCTAAGCCCGGAAGAGATGGAATTCGCCGCCATTTTCGAGCGCCGTGGGCGGAACGATATGGCTCATCTGGTTCGCAATGGGAGGAAGATGCAGAGGTACCTGTTCTTCAATGGAGGATCGGTATCGCACGAGCAAGAGGACTTCGAAGCCATGTTCCAGGGCTTGCGAGCTGCGTGGGCCGGGGACAACAGCCAACCTGGTCCCTATCAGGTTTGGAAGGAGGAGGCGCTGAAGAAGTATGAGGGGGATGAGCAGCTGGAGCGTCTCTTGCAGAGGAATAGTACTCGGTCGCAGAGCGCCACTCAACTTGATTGCGGACCTTCAACTCCCCAACGGCATGACTCGTTGAAAGACGAATCATCAGAGATCCCGAATACGGGAATGAGAGAAGGACCTGCTGGATTTTGTATGAGGGTGGCAGCTAGGCTTAGTAAGAATAAGGACATCGCTTATTAAGTACTGCGTGATGTTGTCAGCATTACTGTATCGTGACTTGGGATCGAGTGGTTCTTCGTCAGACAAATGCCACGATTGGTCGGCAAGGCAATGCGGATTTTTTACAAAGCCAGTCCCGCATCAGCAAGTGAAGGTTCTCTCGAAGCGAGCAGTTCTACAGGCGTCTGGAAGATTCTTCCAAACCGAATCTTCCAAACCGTTGAAGGCTGATGCAGGGTTCGGACGACCCTACACCTCCGTAGAATTTCCACAACCATCCGCAGACTACAACCCCTCGCCTTGATTTCCTCCTCGATTCAAGCTTGCTTCAGATACGTCTCGCACTGGAATTGGGACATTGAACCATCGTTCCCCTGATTGTAGAGATCTAGGAGGATGGTACTAAATATCTTGACCGCGAGTTCACGGATGCCTGTGATAGCTACTCGTGTGATGAAACGGGACGTTCCCGTGAGCTGGTTTGCTCTGAGACATGGATCGATTTCGGCTTAGGAGGCGTACTATACAGGTAGAGGGCAAAGTTTTAGGACTGAGCGCATTTTGGCTCAAGGTCATTTACCAATTGGAGCAGGTTTCTACACTGCCTAACCTTGTCCTTTCCCGAAACACATATACTTATACCGCTTCTGGGGCCCGCGTGCTTCATCTCCTCAACTGTTCTCCTTTCTATACATACACAAACACCACTGTTCTTCCGACCATTGCTTTGAGGGGGTCCAGCAACAAAAACTATGCTAATAGAGGCAAGTATGCTGGGACGATACTGCTGTGATAGTGATGGAATAGATGATGTTTCTTCGTTGTTGATACTGGAGGATAAACTCTTTTGAATAGCATCTGCCCCGCGAAAGAGCACACGGAGGTGATTTTTGAAATATGTGTTGGCAGTCGGAGCTGGTTTCCTTGTGGTGGTGGGAAAATTGATGCTGCACTGTGAACGGTTATGCGAGACTGCTGCTGCTTATATGACATCAACAGTCAGGGAAAGAGGGGAAAGAAGAGGAGAAGAGTGCTCCTTTACCATCCATGGGAATACGCTATAACTAAAATTCTTTTTATGCATGCTCGTACCTGAACAACATCACGGCTTGAGACTGATTCCAGGGCTTCATGAAGTGGCTATAGGCCAGGCTTTCTGAACAGAATATCATGATGGTGCATTAATTCATATATCGAAAGTATTGCTACAAGCATTCCCTTCCTCAAACAGTATGCGTGGCAACTCTCTGGGGGGCAGTGATCGAATGGCTGCTCCCGGTGTCCGTCTGGGGGTTCTCTCCTGACATAGCAATACTTGATCCAGTGTTCGCTGTGCTGGGACTTCCTCTGAATCTTACGCCCTCTAACATCTTGCGACCGAGTCGAGCCGGGTTAACCGATGGCCTGCGGAACCCGTCTTGGATTTCTTCCAACCCTCGTCCTCGTGTTTCGGGCATAAAGAGCGCGAGTACGATGAGCGTGAAAAGGGATAGTCCACCAAAAAGGAAGTATGCGCCGAAGGAGGAGCGTGCAAGGAAAATGGGAGTGGCAAAGGCCACGAGCCAGTTTGTGAACTGTGGAGATTAGCATGTAAATCAGCGGGTTTTTGGTATGACTTACAAAATTCAGACCCTGCGCAACACTGTTTGCCGCAGCTCTCGTCTGGACCGGTTGGATTTCGCTGGCGTAAATTTTGCCAACAATTCCCCATGTTCCACAGTACGTTAGAGCAAAGACGAAGATGAGCAGTATGACGAACCACCTGCCAGATCCAGAGTGCGCGTGGACACTATTCGTTGCGTAGAGACTGCCGATGACAAACATACAACCGGATAGACCAATGCCACCAGTGATGATCGAAGTTCTGCGACCCCAGCTATCTGCGAAGATGAAAGCAGGGACTGATACTACTAACATGAGGATAGCTGAGACTCCGGATGCAAGGAAAGAGGCTGTGCCGCTAGATAAACCTGCTTGGGAGAAGAGAATAGGAGCATACTGTTAGAGTCAGCAGATTAGCGATCGTTTAATCCATCGCGACCGCAAGCGATGAGGCGAGGATTAACAGTCTCAGACTCACATAGAGGACGCCATCGATCCCGGATAATTGGACCATTCCTAGGACGAATAAACCAAGTGTGGTTCTTAGCCGATACTTCCTCTGGAAAATTGACCGTGTTGATTGCCAAGTAGACAGCTTTGATTCACTGCGAGCGGTAAGCTTCGACATGTCCCTTTCGACCTCCACTCTAGGAATATTGAGGCGATCTAGTGAACGCATGGCATCTTCCCGACGACCACCAACAAAGAGCCATCGGGGCGAAGGCGGTAAGTAGAGACAGCTAACAGCCAAGATGACACCAGTAACCGCCATAAGGATGAAGGGAAGCCGCCAGGAGATTGACGAATCGATCTTTATAGAACCATAACACGTGAAGTAGCCAGCGCAGATCCCTACAGCTGCCATGAATTGAGGAATTGAGACTAGCATCCCCCTACGGCTTGCGGGAGCGATCTCTGTGATGTATCTGACAGCGCCAAGTCAGTATCTGAGGTCTTGATACACAGAGCAGAGGCCCGACATACACCGACACGTTCGAGAGCCAAAGCCCTTCGCCCAGTCCAGCCAACGCTCTTCCGACCAAGAGCATAGGGAGCGCAGATGCTGCTCCTTGCAAAATGGCACCCAGTGTAAAGATCGTGGACCCTACCATGACAATACAAAGGTGCCCATAGCGATCGGCCAGTTGTCCTGCGAAGAATGCGGGGACAGCACCCATCAACATCAAGAAGGATACGATGAAGCCACGCATAGCGGGCGTTGGAGTGCCGAAAGTGAGTTCGAAGTGTGGCATCGTAGTCACGGCACCGATGGAGCCTGTGTCGTAGCTAGAGAAGTGTCAGCTTGTTTTTCTTGCGGGTTCTGTAAAAACTCTATACCCATTCAGTAGACCACCGATAGAAATGATGGAGGAAGCTAGCATCCACCCTGGTGGCTTAGATGGTTTCCACATTGCTAGCAGAGGAGCATGAAGACGAAGGAAGTCGAGTCAGTCAGGTTGGCAGTGATAATTCGTCGCGTGTATAACTTCACATTTGAGGTGGGAGGAATGTACATGTACATACATGCCTGGTGTCAGATTGTTTAAATGACGTAGCCTGACAAGTAATAATACTTGAGGATTTGGAGGCATGCTCGATCATGTGCCCCGGCCCGGGTCTAATGCGGGGTCTCATGCAGGGTCTAATGCAGGGTCTCAGGGTCTTATTATTCATAGGGTCCGTGCACCACCTCATACAATCATGTAGATATTGGCATTGACTTGCTGTCAGAGAATTTCTTACATGGACAGGTATATCATCAAGCCTAGAAAGTCCTGACAGGCTACTTTCCAGGCTCAGCGACCTTGTCGGCGAAGTTGGTAAGAAGGTGATACAACTCCTCTCTCTTCTCCAATTGAATCCAGTGCCCACAATCTAGAACCTCGACTTTGGTCTTCTTCGTCCACTCTCGTTGGCGCTGCTCTTGCATATCGGCTCTGGTTGCATAGTCTTTTGTTGAGCCGACCAGCATGTTTGGTAGTGTGAGGAATTTCTTCTCGTGCGGGACATCGGCTTCATCGGCATGATTGATGCCTCTCATAGCAGATTTGTACCTAAGAATGCGTTAGATTCGATGCAACGTTGAATCATGGGTATGCCATTAACGACTGACCATCTCAAAGGGGCAGCATAGCCACTTTGCCCCATGATCTCGTTCCTCACTGCATTTTCTTCTTCGGTGACCCAATCGGGGAGTGGTGTGGTTTTACCGGAAGCAATCCACGCTGCTGCATTTCCTACGGGGCAAAAGTCGGTTTTCCAAATCTCAGGATCGGTAGGGTAGATGAGGGAGAAGGCGGCTTGAGGCTAGTGGCCATTAGCAAGGTCACAATGCTAGTGCAGTTCGTCAACCCACGTTCCGATCAAATACCTCGGCTGCATCTTCGGTGTTGAACCATTTCCAGTACCCAAAGGTTGGATAGCCAAAAGCCTGCTCGGTGAGAGCGTTGAAGGCATCTAAAACACATAAGCGAAAGTGATTGGAAAGCTAGGGTGGCAAGGTGCATGAGTACCAATGTCATGAACGAGGCCAGGCTCGATATATCCCACGGAGACAAAGACAGTAGCGAGAAAGCACTCAGGATGGTACGTAGCAAGGCGGGCTAGAAGACCGCAACCCCTATAGATATTGGCGTCAGCGGAGTCGAACTAACTCCAATGCAAAGCAGCAATTCATCAGATCAGCAGTAAATATCGAGCATGTGGGCCACCGACAATCACATCCCAGCCTATTACACCTGAACAATCACTTGCGCAGTGGTGTAGACTCACCAGTCGTGTGCAACCCCAATGACTTTCTGCAATCTTTTTTTCTGCAGGATTTCTGCCACATGGCCGCTCATCCTCTTCATCGAGTATGCCTCAAGCTCTTCTGGTTTATCTGTATCACCATATCCCAGCAAGTCAGGTGCCACAACGCCATACCCGGCTTTTTTGAGCTGAGCGATTTGGTGCCTCCAGTCCCAGCTCGAGCTTGGAAATCCGTGAAGAAGGAGGAACGTTGGCTTCTGGGAGTCGGCAGGAGGCAAGTGGACGAAGGCGTAAGTGGTGCCATCTTTGAGCCGCACTGACTCGCTAATTGAGGGGAAGGCTTGGAGAGCCATGACGATGCGAATATGATGGAAGCAGGAGGGCAAGTCAAGACTGGTAAATCTTCAAGATGTGCTAGCTGGTTTGTTCGTGTGGGGGTTAGGTTGTATTTTGCATTGGCAGAGTATCAGACCATTCACTGAAACGTTAATCGAGCTCTTCTCACTTAAAGGTGTGGTCTGGTTGGAAATGTTTGGGTGTCTTATGTATGAAAGAGGCAGATGGAAGTCTCCAACCCGTAGTTTGGTCCTCTCTATGAGCTTCGACTGAGGCCATGATTTACTCTTATACCAGCATAGCAAGCCAGAGCGTACTGCAGACAGTGCACTGTACGTCCATCGTATATTGTTGTACTTGATCGAAAAACATCGTGATTGCAGTTTCTTGCTTCTGCTTACGCTCAGCAGCTCTGAAATGATTGGCTATTGTCGGGCCGCCCTCGGACCGACATTTTACGTCATGTCAGTCATGCTTAGAATTGGTCTAAGGCGGACTCGGCGAACCTTTTGGTGTTCCCCAAAACTCCTACCACCGCCACATCAACTTTCACACTCCCTTCCCTAAGCCTTCAGAGTCTGCTCGATATAGATTCAATATCTCAAATATACCTAACAAACATTACTACAGCGGATTTACATGATTCTCTTGTCGCCGTGGGTTCCGCTACAGAAGCGAAAATGCCCGTTCCGAACCGATATTCCTTCGACCAAGGCCAAGGACGGAGAAACGACCAATCAAGACCATCGAACCATGCCTTTTGCATGCGGAACGGGTTTACGAGTGTATATCGAAGCGGCGGCGGTCTAGACTAGGCCTAAGGATCAACGATTGAACGGCGATCACGGCCGAATGTTCAGTCCAGAACAACTTGACCATAAGACGTCGCATGCAGAATCGTCTCAGGATATCATAAATGGAAGCGATGATGCCAGAGTTGGCTTCAGGATCGTGGATAGGGGGTAGCATCAACCAATATGTGTGCAATGATAAACACATCGTGATCGGTATCAGCTAGCATCGATGGGCCTTCTTATTACAGTAAGATTCGGTTGCCTTAGTAGAGACGGCTACAGCCAGTTGCACAGCAACCCTGCTCTTTTTACTACTGCAGGTGAGAACTTATGGATCTCAAGTTAGAATTAGAGGCCCACCGTGGCACTGTTGTGCTAATTGATCATGTTTGGGCCGAGAATTCTTAAATTTCACGCAACTCGTTACAAAACATGTATGATCTGCGACCCCGAGAGCTTAAGGTATTATTCCCGTTGGTTACATGGCGTCGAATTGCCCTGCAGATGATAAGACCAACACCGGCACGAGCCACCGTTGCGCCATCTGCCGTGGATCAAAGAGAGCAGCATCACATATCATCATTCGACCTAGTGATCTATTCTACGGCGAACAAGATGAGTGACGGTGGGCGTCATATGGCATGTACTTCATGTCGAGACCGCAAAGTCAAGTGTGATGGAGGGCTGCCAAGCTGTCAAAGATGCTCTCGTTACTCGGTGCATTGCGTGTATATGCCACCGTCGAGGCAGTCAAGAGTCGACGTAGACTTGATGTCGATGAATGACAGACTACGTCCGCATTGTGTTCACCCATTCGTGAACCAGATTTGCTGAGGAATTCTAGTTCAAGCAGAAACAGCCCTTGCAGCTCAACAAGACGGCTCCTCAAGAGCTTACCCTCCCATAGTCTCGCAAAGCATCTCTAATAACGAAAGTACCACATGGCCCAACTCTATTCCTTCGGTCAGCACGTTCTCGCCTACTGAGATCAGCCAGTTCTTTCAGCATTCGTCAAGCGATCCTCCAGCAACATCAAGCAGTCTCCAGGAGACCAATGCCTTTCCGCTCAACGATCCAGTGGCATGGGACATATCGAATATGATGGCAACGGATATCCCGGAAGCCTGTGGAACAAGTGAATTGTTTGCATTCGGTGGAGAAAAGATAGATACCTCAGACAAAGGCTACTCGAGTGAATCTTTGAGTCAGTGGCCCAGTGTGGACAGTTCGAGCTCGAGCGATCAATCGAGGATACATACGACACGGGGTACGAGGATTGATGCATATGAGACTGTTCCCCAGAATGTCATGAAGGACCTGTGAGTGTGAGCCGTCCAGGCGTGAAAGGGTCGGTTACTGAGTCTGTACAGATACCGACGCTACTTCGACGCAATCCATCCCTCCATTCCCATGATCGATGAGTCAAGATCCCCCTCCAGCACAGACGATATCCACGTCCCCCTCGAGTCACTCGGTCTGAGGTACGCTATGTGGGCTCATGCGGCGGCGTTGTCACCAATATACTCCAACTTGAAAGAGCGGTTCTACCAGCAAGCGAGGGAATGTGTCGAAGATTCAGAGGTGGAGGTGTCTGGCGGCTCCATGACAATCGCTGCTCTTCAAACACATATCCTTCTTGCCTTGTACGAGTTCAAAGAGACCCTGTTCCCGCGAGCATGGACCAGCGTAAGTCGTGCGACTTGGCTGGCACAGATGCTGGAGTTACACAAGATGGACCCAAAAGTCTCTTCGAAACGAGTTGCTTCCTTTGAAACATATCTCCATGAGACTAGTGATCCCGCTGAGCTCAAAGAAAGGGCGACAACGTTATGGGCAGCGTACGGTCTTCACTGCTTCATTGGTGTAGGTGTAGGATGGAACACAGGCTGTATGTTAGACGTTAGAGAGGTAAGTCAACATGCTATACATTCAGGGGTAGCAGACCACTGGCACTCTTTTGCAGCTGACAAGGTGCCTAGATCACCACGCACATACCGGCACACGATTCCTACGTCAACGCTTTTTCGAGGTCACTCACACTGAAAGATGCTCTGAGTCTTCCCGCTACCTGGGTACTTTCTCCCTACCAGGGCATGGTAGTTGTGGCCAACATCTGCATATGCTGTCTCTCACACGTCAAACAGCTACAGAGAGAAAAGTTGCTCGACAATTTCAGCTATGACTTTTGGACGGAACATCATCATCTGGACGAAACGATTCAATATGCGTCTACCAACTCATTGGCACATTTGGTCGCCGCAGATTTCGTGACTGAACCGAATGTCTTATCTCTCAATATAATTCTTCAAGCCACAATCATTTGCTTACACCAAGCTGTGATAGCCAAAGCGGGAAGAACAAACACCTCAGCTAGACATATCCCTCGAAGTGAGGACGAATGCATCAAAGCAGCAACGGAACTTTCGGCGATGATGCGACTCGTGACCCGGGCAAATGTAGTCAAGGTGAGTCCGCTTGCTCCCAAATCCCGCCATTCATTTTCGAAGGTGTCAATGAGACAGACTTGGAACTTTATGGCGCCGATTACTGCAGTGAAGTATTGACAGAGTTCAGATGAATCCGTTGATCCCCTGGGCCATATACGTCGCCCTCCAAGTGATCTTCCGGAGATCCCAGCGCAAGTCTAGTGTCCCCGATAACCAAGCTTCTACTATCTTCCTAGCACGTCCGCCCCGAGGGAATGGCAGTCCCACCTCGTCGAGGCATACTTCTGGGAAGTTCAAAGCCAACGCAGAGGAGCAGGCCGACGACTCGTTGAACGACGCCAAAGCACTGGATTCAATGCACTTCCTACTGTCTACGCTTATGGAGATGAGGGTGTCGAACCCTTTGGCTAAGGTCCTCGAGGGACAGATCAGCCAGGAAATGGCAGAAGGGCGAGCAATGACGCGAGAGCGGGTCGTGGGTCTTGTGAACTTTCCACTGGCACATCCCAGCACCAGAAGTGGCGAAAACGGTAACGACATGGATACATCCTTTCCAGCCTGAACGATTCCCATGACTGTGAGTAATGAGTAATTTACGCAACCGGGTTTTGGTTCTGAGCTTCATCGTTAGTGGTAATTACTAGCGAAGGGGTTGGCTTGCGGAGATGGACCCTGCCGAGACAACAGTAATAGGCAGTTGTATGAGGACGATAAGGAAGCATTGGCAAGCACCAATGAGATGGCATGCAACAAAGTCGGTGTTGCCGATGGGACGCCTTATTGATAACGGCAAAGGCTCATGTTTCCCCCACATCAATCCGTCACTAGTAGTGGGATGCTCCCTGAATCTGGACCCCTAAAGTCTAAAGTCAAAGAGTAGACGCCAAGACTGCCTTCGTTCTCAATCCGTCATTCGATGAAGGGAATAAGGATATTTCATGATAGCGGGGGCTTGCTTCCCCCCCGTCAAGTTGTCAGCGGACGAAGCCTTAATCGTTCGACTCCCGCCATTCACAGTGGCTTCCGTCGATAGTCGTCAATTACTAGCTACATGTCCAAATACGGTACAATACAACCCATTTAGCGCATGTACTAGTACTGAGCCAAGCAAAGACGCTTGGCGCCAGAGACAGGGTTCGGTTTGCGAAGAGCCGAGCCTTGAATCGTCGATCAAGAGAACGGCTTGCGGGATAATCATCTAGCGGATGCCCCAAGACGGCGCTTTGTTTGCGAGACCCCTGACCCCTCTGCCCTGATCGTCGATATCAGATAAAAGTTCTTTTTTTATATTCTATTTATTTATATATATAATTTATTTATATAGTATTTATATATAGCTTTAATCTTAATTATATTAAATATAATCTATTATATTATTAATAGATTATAAGTCTAATTAACTATTAATCGAGATTTTAATCTTTTATTATATCTATTTATTATTATTATAATTTCTCTAAATATTAGAGAATATAATTATTTTAAAATTTTTATTAAAGAATATTTAAGAGTAAAGCTATAATAGATTAAAAAATAAGATTATTTATTTATTAAATAAATAGCGTTATTAATTAAGAGTTCTTTTTATTTAAAAGATAAAAGAAGAAAGAAGGAAGAAGAGAAGGAAGAAGACCTTCTATCTAATTTAAATAATTTATTAATAATTAATTTATTAAAGAAACTAAATAAGAGACTTATTAATAAATTATATATTAAAATAAAAGTTTTAAAAAAATTTAAACTATTATCTATAGATCTAAAATTATTAATAATTTCTTAAAAAATAGAGTATTTTTAAAATAATATTAAAGGAATTATTAATATTTACTTAATTTAATAAAAAGCTAATTAAATAATAAATTATTTTAAATAGATAAATTGTTATATTAATTAGAGATAATATTAATTAAAATTAAAAGAGTTATATTATTTATTTTATTATTTTTAAATCTATATAAAATAAATTTTATTAAATTTATAAAATAAATAATAAAAAATATCTTCTAATTATATTATAATTTTTTTTTAAATATATTAAATTAATAAATTAGATAATTAATTAAATAATAATAAATTTATAAAATTTATAAAATAAAATTATAGATTTAAATTTAATTTATATATTATATAATCTTATTATAATAATAATAATTATAAATATTTATTAAAGAAGTAAGTTTAATATAATTAAATATAATTTAGAAATTAATAATAATTTTATTATTAAAATATTTATAAAATATTTATAAAATATTTATAAAATATTTATAAAATATTTATAAAATATTTATAAATTATAAAATAAGATAAATAGATTAAAAATAAAGATTTATTTATATATAATAAATAAAAAAATAATTAACTTAAAAGTTTTTTTAGAAATATAAATAAGATAGAATATTATAGCTATAGAAAAATCGAGTATTATAAAAAAATTGAAATAAAAAAATAAAAAGAATAAGAGTTATAGAATAAAGAATTTAGATAAATAAAATTATAAATTAAAAAATTAATTAAAAAATTTAAAGATATTTAAAAATAATAAATAAAAATATTTAAATTATATTATAGTAATAGTAAATAAATTAAATAATAATATTAATATTAATAATATAAGCGATATATATAATTAAAAGAAAAGTTTATAAATAATTAAAAAAAGCTAAAATCTATAAATAGTATATTATTAATAATAAAAAATTTATAATAATAAATTTTTAGAAGATAATAATTAATTAATAGACTTTAAAGTAACTCGCTATATAATATTAAATAAAAAATTATTTATTAATTTATAATTTTATTTAAAAGAAATAGAATTTAATAATTAAGACGAATTAATAATAATAAATAAAAAATTATTTAAATTTATATAAACAATTATATATAAATTATAATAAATATTTTATATATTTTATATATTTTAAAAATAGATAATAATCTACTATCTATTATAATACTAATTTAAAAAAAATTTAAAATATAATTTAAAAATCTATATATTAGAATTATTAATATATTTATAAATAAAATAATAATAAAAAATTATATAAAAAATAATTTATATTAATTAATTAAATTAATATTCAATAGAGTATTTATTTTTAAAGAATTAAGATCTTCTAATAAAAGTATATTTATATTTATAAAATAAGAATAAGTTAATTATTTTTAACTAATATATTAATAATTAAATTATATTAAAATATATTATTTAAAAAATTTATATCTTTATATAAGAGATATAAAAAGAATAAAATTATTAGAAGAATTTTAATATAATATATATAGTTTTATAAAAATAATTTAATAAATTAATAAGAATCTTAGATTAAAGAAAATAGTATAAAAAGCTTAAATATATATTAACTTCTAGAAATTATATTTTATAGCTAATATTATAGAGGATAGTAAGTAATTTATATCTCTTATTAATAAGATTATTAATTAATTAAATCTTAAATTTATTATATTAAAAAAATTAATTTATTTTTTATTTTTAAAAATATAATTATAATTAATAAAATAATTAAAATAAAAGAAATAATATTAATTAGAATTAATAATATAAAAAAGTATAAATTAATTAAGAATATATTTAAAAAATAAGATATTATTATAAAATTTATAAAATTTATATTTTATATTAAAATGATATTATAAAATAATTTAATAGAATATTAATTAAATTTATAAGATCTATATTTAATTAATTAAACTTATTTATAAACTTCTAATTAAAAATTATAATTTATATAAATTATTTAAAAAATAAAAATATTATATAATAGTAGAGAGAGTAAATTATTCTATAAATTATAATTTAATAAAAAATTAAATTATTTATATTTAATTTATTTATTAAAAAAAAATAAGAAAGTAAATTATATATTATAATTTATTAAGATATATATATTAATTATTAGTTATCTACTTAATATTAAATTTATATTTAAATTTTTAAAATAATTAATTTTATTAATTTATAAATATTTATTTTTATAAAAATTATAAAAGAGTTTAATTAATAACTTTAACTTTATTTTTAATAATCTATAATTTTATATAAATAAATTTTATTTTTATTTATTAAAATAATAATAATTTTAATAACGCCTTTATTTAGAATAGTATTAAAATTCTATCTAATAATAATAATAATAAAAAGAATTATAAAAGGCTTATATCGAATATTATATCGTTATTATAAATTAAAAAAATTAAAAATATATAGAATTTTTAAATAAAAAAGAAGTTTTTATTAACTTTTTAAAGAATATAAATAATAATAAAAATTTAGAATTAAATAATTTAAATATATATTAAATTAAATAAGAATTTTCGCTAAATCTATTAAGGAATCATTATGGTTTAACTCATATATATGTGTGGTATAAAAGATATTGATTATCTATGTGGTCTGCAGGCAGATATATGCGGTGCCAAGCCTACGCTAGTGGCCCTATGAGTATCCCTAAGGCATCTCATAACAATTGCCCACAAAAAACAGAGAAATGCCATGTCCTCATGGCAAGAAGCATGCATACATGTGTGCTTTTCGAAAAACCGGAAAGGAATAGAGACACCAGGCTAATTAGTGGTGTACATCCCACGAAATCTCCTGCTAGAAATGAAAACTTTTGAATAAAGAACAAGACATCGGACGGTTTCAAATCGACCAAATAAGCATCGTCTGATGTTCCTCAATGGTAGTGGGTACAGCCTTCATAAGTGCACCGGTGATCCTCCCCTGTAAAAGCCCAATGAACCATAGCCTCGTTCCCACCCTCGTCATGGGTGTTGCCATAGCGACGTGGTGTATGCCCTGCGGGATGGTATGTAGGGGCCACATGGTAGCTGTCGGCCGGTGCATCGTACACGTAGTCCTCCTCTTCTTCACCCCAGTAGACCTGCGGACGTGTTGGCTGCGGCTGCAGTTACGGCTATAACTGGCGATATAGAGGTCTCGGTGGCTGCTACTAATAGGACTGCTGAGGCCTTGATTGATAGACTTAATGAGGTCTATTTGGATCTAATAAGCGAGGTTTGCCGAATATTGAATAGACTTGATACCATGCAGCCTAACATAACTGAACTTGCTTAATAAATAATGTCAAGTCGCTTGGTGGATTCAAATCTCGCTGTAAGCCTGCCTCAATGTAATGGAAGGCTGTCATAAGACCATCTTGCTGGGGCCATTTGAGGCCTTTAGTGACACAAATAACCTCCTGAATATACGCCGTTGCATCCCTCTTATTAGCCATATCCTTTCTGATATAGTAGCACGTATCTGACTCTAACTCTGTTATCAACTCCTCATATAATAATCCGAATCGTTCGATTAGTGCTTAATATCAGGGATCAATCGATATACTCTTATTAAGTAGCAGCTTGATATAATCTTAAAGCTCGTGGTAATACCAGTTAAATGCGGTGTCTTGAAGTACTATGACGAGGTTCATCTGGATCAATTTAAGGCCCTCGGGCTTATTGATAGCGATGCTAATCAGGCGATCAATGAAGGTAGACACTTTCTTAACGTCTCCGTTGAAGTAACCCACTTCCTTAGATCTCCATCGCTTTTCTTCTTGCGGAACTGGCTAAACTAGCTAAGTGACTACTAAGCTAGCGAGATAAATAGTATTGACTGAGCAGGTGGAATTATAGGTGAAGAACGCCTAGATCTAGCCTCCAATACGTCTATTCGATTGCTGAATTCCAGCCTCATAGATCTTATCTCATTCATTATTCGTGTAAGCATATCATTATCAGAGGTAGGTGGAGCGGTATCTGATTAACTAGCTAGCTGTTCCTACTGCGACTGTCCTCTGGTATTTACAGACATTATAATATCGATAGGTCTATTAAAAGAATCGATTGAACGGGGTGTCAAAAAGTACTCGATAACGCGAGTATATTGGAGGTCCGGCTTAAAGCGTCACACTATTAAGTGTTGATATAGGCTTTACGTAAACGTCTGATATGACGCCTAGATATCCTATAAAGTAGAGCCAGATGTTGCTATCAATTATTAAGGAATCATTATAATTTAACTCATATATATGTGTGTGAAAAGATGTTAATTATCTATGTGATCTGCAGGCAGATATGTGCGGTGCCAAGCCTACGCTAGTGGCCCTATGAGTATCCCTAAGACATCTCATAATAAAATCTTTATAAAGTTAAAAAAAACTTTTAATATTTTAAATAATAAAAAATAATAAATTAAAGAATAGTATCTAAGATTACTATTTAATAATTTATTATATTTATATTTATTTCTAATTCTCTTAATTATATTAAGCGATATTTTATATTTTAGATTATTATCTTTATATAATAGTCTTATACTAAAAAGCTAGATTATAATCCTTATAAATTCTATAATAATTTTAATATAAAAAATTAAATTAAATTTATAAATATTATAATTAAAGCTTTATCTATTAAAAATTATTTATAAATTAAATATTTATAAATAAAAATAAATTATTATTAAAAAAATTATCGCTTTAATTATTAAAAAATTTAAAAATTTATTATTTTATTAATTAATAGATATCTAATTATATATAAATAGATTTTTAAGATTAAATATAATAGCGATAAGATTATTAATAAAATTAAAATTAAATTTATTATTAAAAAATTTATATAAATAAAAAATATTAATTTTTATAAGACTTTTATCTTTATTTTATACTTTAATTTTTTATATTTATTTTTATTAGATATGTTATAATAGATTTTTTAATAAAATAAATAAATATTAATAATATTTATCTTAATAGTAATCTTTATAAAAAAATCTATATAATTTTATTATTAAATTATTTATTAATAATTAATATTAAAGATAAAATATTACTTTTTTAAAAAGAATTATATAATCTTAAATAATTAGCTTATATTTAAAATAAGAAACTTAAATATATTATTAAAAAAATAGAATTTATAATTATTATAATTAATAGCTATATCTTTATTTAAATATTATTAAAAAAAAATTATTATAAATATTTTATATAAATAATATTTTTATTAGAATTAAGTTATAAAGTATTATAAATTATATTAAATATTAAATTTATAAAAAATTTAAATTTTTAAAATAGACTTAATTAATTATATTTTTAATATTTAAATTTATTATAATTAAAAATCTTATATTTTAATTATTAAATAAGTATAATATATTAAAAAGATATTTAAAGAATATTTAATAGACTAGACAATTTCTATTTATACTCTTATTAATAAATATAAATTAATTTAATTAGATTAATTAAAGAGAAATATATAAATTAATTTAATCTTTATTATAAAAAGCTTAATTAAATTAATTATAATTTAATTATTTATTATATAAATATAGTAAATCGAGTATTTAAATATATATAAGATATTATATCTCTAGAACTACGCTATTAAGAGATAAGAATATTTAAAAAATTTATAAATTTAATATATAATAATAATTAAAAGAATTATAAATCTATTTATAAATTCGTTTTATTATATAAATAAATAGTATATATATAATATAGTCGAAAATAATAAGAGATAATTATATTTATAATAAAAGCTAAATATATAATCTTAATAAAAAAGATAAAATTATTATATAGACTATATAATAATTATAAAAAATTTATTTTTAAATATTAAATAAAGATTTTATGATATTATTTAATAATAATAAAAAGACTATTAATTCCATAAAGAATTTTAAATATTATTAAAAAATTAAATATATCGATATCTAATATTATTATATTTATTAATTAATTAAAAATAAGATAATTATAATAAATTATATATTTATAATCTAAATAATAATAAATATTTTTATTAAATTATTTAATAAGAAGCTATTTAAATAATATAGAAAATTATTAAAAATATATAATTATTTAATTAATTAAAAGATCGCTATTGAAAAATTTAATATTATATAAAATCTAAATCTACTTTTTTAAAATAATCTTATTATATATAAGAATTATTATATATTTTAAAAGAATAAATTAAAAAACTATATTAAAAGTTTATATTATTTCTTTACTTTCTCATTTTCTTTATAAAGATTTTTTAAAAAGTAATATTAATTATTTATTTTATTATCTCTATCTTTTTAATAGTTAAATAAAAAAAATTTAATAATTTATAACTATTAATTATAATATAGCTAAGAATTATAATTATATAATTATAAATAAATATAATTATAAATAATATAATTATTAATAATAATTATTATAAATAATATAATTGTTAAGAATAGCTATATAATTATAGATAATAATTATATATTTATAATTATAATATTTTAGAATAATTAATTTATTTAATATATATATAAAACTAATATATTTAAAAACTTAAAATATAATTTTTAAAGTAAATTAAAAAAATAAATCTCTAATAATTTAATAAGTAACTTTTTATATTTATATTAAGTTTATATCTACTATATAAAGTTCTTTTCTTATATTCTATCTATCTATATATACGATTTATTTATATAATATTTATATATAATCTTTTATCTTTATTTATATTATATATAGTCTATTACATTATCAACATAATGGGCGTACTGGCTCTGAATTGGTTTCTGAGCCAATCATAGCAAATATAAGGTACGCTCGGGTAGTGGTACGTAAGGTACATAAAACCCTTGAGATACTGCCAAGCTTTTTGCCAAGCCGAATACTTGAAAACAGCACTGCGCATGGAGAAGCACCAACGCTTTTGCGAATTCGACATCAAACAGAAGCGACTTGGACCCTTTTTCTCACCGGGGTGACCCCTGCGATACCCACCGCGAGTATAATGTGGGGGTCCCATCCGAGAGGGTTGCAGGGGACTGATGCAGGGACTAAGGGAGACATCAGAAGGGAGTTTGTATTTGACGCTAATCATCCGAAATGACAGCTAAGTATGATACGGTAATGGAGCTACGACTTACAGGTACGTCTCAGTGGAGGATGGAGATACAATCACTAAGGAATAAAAGCCCCCGCCCCATACGGGATTTACAGCAACAGATTGAAATTTGCCGTTTCGCTGCTCGAACTTACAGGTAAATTAGGCGAAATTGAATAGGTGGTCTGACCAATGCTGACAAAGGGTGCCCAAGAGATAGGTCGTCTTATGCATCCGCACTCTAGGATGCTTTAGGGCTCGGGCGCAATCTCACCCAATGTTCTCTCTACACTACATTATCCTCAGCTGATGTTACGACGTACGACGACATCATCCATTCGTCAATGGAGATCTGAGCCTTTAGTTGCCTTGTATCCGCGGGATAACATCGCATCAGAAACATGCTTAGCGGTGGCGGACAACATATGTAAACATTTGGGCGCGGCGGAAGGACTCCTGGAACACTCCCACTCCACTATTCATCACCCACGTTCAAAAGCCTATCTACTCATGCTAATCTCAATTGACATCCTAACAACCAGTTCATCGATTCGTTAAGCATACAAGTGGCAAGGCATCATCTACTGACCGACCAGCAGTGCCCTCCCGCCCATCAACCATAGAGCTGAGGACAAAGCAACAAACAATCCCAACATCGGCACTTGTGCCTGCTTGACCAGACTCCATACCCTCTCCCCGGATGTTATCTTCTCAGGCTGCGCTTCATCATCCCACAGGATCTTCTTCTCCTTATACTCTCCAATCGGTACAAAGTCCAACTTCACCCCACCTTTAATGATCTCGGCAAGATCGTGACCCAGTTTCTTCTCGCTCTGGAAGGGAACAACCCAAAGAGCCATCATTTTCATCCAAAACCCATCCCATGCCTGCACGCGGGTGATCAAGTTGGCGAACTTCATAATCTTCCGTGTCCGTGGGATCTGCTTTTCTTGGTATTCCTGGCAAAGAGCGTCAAGACGATCCTTAGATGGCTTGACCTCTGGACGAGCTTGCATCTCCCGATTGAGCAGATTCGTGAGAAGTGCAATGCTTTCCATGCCAGTATTCCCTCCGAGTGCGATGTTGGGGGTGATCTATTCACCACATTAGCCACGTCCCGGCATTGAATCCCCAAATCTAATACCTTATGAGCAGCATCACCCACGAGAACGCTTCTGCCGAAATGCCAATGGTCCAGGACTCCTTCCTCTATATCCACCAACACGCTTCTCCAACGGTTTTTCCACAGCTCGCCAAACACTTTTGTCCCTGAGATTGGGTGTTCGGCCATGCTGGCAGCCGCCGCTTCAGCGTCCTTTTCCGTGTATCTGGGCCTCTTGTATGTAGAGTATGGCTTGTCAACTCTCATGAAGACAAACCAGTAAGTCTTGTCTGGCTGCGCAGATATCAAGAAGGAGTAACGGTCATTGTGGACAGCGCCAACCTCATGACCCAGGTCAGGCTCCCCAGGCCCCATGCCGAGTAGACAGTTCCACGTCGTGGTCATAGCTTAGCCTTTCATCAGCAGCCGCAGTATTCGATGGAGATTCTCGAAAGATGGGCTTACTCTTTTTCTCACTGGCCGTGATAAGACCAGGCTCGAGCTTGGCTGCGTTCTCCCACATCGTCTGACGTACCTTGCTGTGTACTCCGTCGCACCCGATAACAAGATCACCGCGCTCACTCGTCCCGTCATCGCAGAAGACCTCGACTCCCTCTTCATCTTCTTGAACACTTTTGACGCTCTTGTTCATAAGAATCCTAGATTTATCCGGAAGGCCATCATAAAGGACTTCTAGAAAGATTCGGCGTTCCATGAGTAAGAACTCATAACCATGGCTAAATGCACACCGTCAACCAATAGCCTGATAAGGATGCATAAGATTTCTTACTTCTCGCGGACAACTTTCCACAAATCGTTATCGGCAACTATCTTCCCATCCGGCATTCGATTCACATATCGTTTGTATGGCGCCGTAGTAGCTTCTGCGGCTTCCAAGCAGCCGAACTGTTCTAAAAGCCTAGAACCGTGAGGGTAGATGGCGATGCTTGTACCTAGATTGGGAGCAGCATCACTGCCCTTCTCCAGCACGACGTGATCGATTCCCGCTTTCTGGAAGCCGTGAGATGCTGCTAAGCCAGTAACCCCAGCGCCGACCACCACGACTCTGAAAGGCTTCTTTGCTGGTTCACTCATTTTGGCGAGTGGAGGTAAGTCATATGCTTTGTAAAGTTCAGCTGAAGGCCTCCACAGCACATTGAACGACTTTTAGTGATGATGGGGTTCAATACTAATCCACAAATGTGGTAAATAAATCTGGAGACGGCATGAGACTAGCGCGAAATATCAAGGTCATACTACAAGGGCCGGCAAGATACGCTGCGGATCGAACCAGTTCAACTAGGTCTCCCCGAAGCCGGACAATCCTGTCGGGTAAACCTGGGGGCAGCCGGTCCGCTATATTGTATCTAATGCAATGCAGGGCAATCGGACCGTAGACGTGCTAGGGTACTATAGTGCCGGCCCGAGAAGGCGATCGTTTCTCAAGGATCTACATTGTTGCTCTACTCATCCATCAACCATAGCAAAGCTGTTCGTTCTACCCTTTTCACCTGTCTCAAGCTGCCCACCATGGTAAGTCATCAAGAATAAATGCCTCTGTGCGCGGTGCAGTTCTTACTTCTCAACGACCTGCTCCACCGTATCCTGCATTAATCATGGCATCCGATACAGTCTACTTCAACGCCCACAGCTCGACCACCTTACCCTCGGGCAGGACATACAGTCACGTTCATATAGTACCAACCGGCAACAAGCCCTACATTCTCTTTCTCCATGGCTTCCCCGGCACCAGCTACCTCTGGCGACATCAGATCGCTCACTTCTCCGCACGCGGTTACGGCATTGTGGTGCCTGACCTTCTAGGGTACCGCGGCTCCGACAAGCCCGCAGAGCTGGAAGCCTACAGACTCAAGAAGATGGCGGAAGATGTGATTTCTCTCCTCGAAACGCTTGGAGTTGGCAGTTGCTTTGCAGTTGCGCACGACTGGTAATTGTACTCCTCCATGTTCAACCCAAACCAAGTACTCACGTGTATCAGGGGCTCCTTCCTCCTCTCTCGCATCGCGAACTACTACCCTGATCGGTTCCTCGCGTTCACCTGGCTAGCGATAGCCTACTCACCGCCTGGCGGTCGATTCTCCGTCGACGAGATCAACGCCGACAGCGAAGAAAAACTCGGCTATCCATTCTTCGGCTACTGGGAATTCTTCAACGACCCCAAGACGGTGGACCTCGTGGACCGCAACGTAAGTCCCCACCATTTCTCTCATCCGGGGCCTCCGAAACCCACTTCCCACGGAGTCCTAAAACCTCCTTTCCAACGCCGTTCCAGGTCGAATCCTTCCTGACCCTCCAATTCGCCTCGGACCCCGAGCAAGTCAAAACCTCCTTCTGCCCCTACGGCGCCGCGCGCGCCTGGGTCACGGCCGGCAAAACCAGCCCCCTGCCTCCCTTCATCACCCCCGCCGAATTCAAAACCCATTCCAGCTTCTTCTCCCCCAGCCACGGGGGTTCCTTCGGCCCTCCGCTCAAGTACGTCCCCCCACCCCCCCCTTCCCACCTTCACCACCCATCACTGACCCAACCCCACCCCAAGCTGGTACAAAGCCATGCTCGCCAACATCAACCTCGCCGACGACGCCGCCATCCCCCTGCGAAACCGCCACGTCACGAAACCGGCCCTGTTCATCGGGTGCGCGCACGATTATGTCGCGGTGCCGCGGCTGCAGGAGGCGGGCATGAGGCCCTGGGCGGCGGATCTGCGCGTCAAGGTGCTCGATTCGGCGCACTGGGTGCAGTTGCAGAGGCGGGAGGAGGTCAACCGGGCGTTGCGGAAGTTCTTCGACGAGGTGGAGGGGTGAAGGGGGGGTTGGAGGTGGGGAGAGAGAGAGAGAGAGATGTGGTGATAACCAAGATGTGACGCTAGGTTGTAGATTATACGATAGATTCATTCCTTCATCCATAGGCTGAGTAGTCCATGGATCATCACTGCGATGACACTGGTACCATCCATCCTTTTTCGAAGAAAAAACAACAGAACACGGCCACATTTCCCACAGTCTCGCACGCACTGTCGCATCAGGTACCTAGGCCGGGGCGGGCCACCGCATCAGCGAAAAAGAATCCAGATCTTCCTCCGTGGTGCAGGGACTAGACCCGTAAAAATTGGGACAGAGAGCGAAAAGAAGGGAAGGGGAAGGGAAAGGGAAGGGAAGGGAAGGGCCGACGTCACGTGATGAAGAATGGGCGAATGACATTCCCAGAACCCCAAACGATCGATGGGATCCTTACAAAATTCATTATGGGCGAATTGAATTCCCAAAATCATAAACCCACACGATGGGATTCTGACAGATTCACAACCGCGTCTTATAGTTTCGTACCCCTCACCAAAAAAAATGGGAAATGGGGTGGGATTTTGTAAGTTGTCAGTCCTTGGGGTATGAATTTTGTAAGACGGGGGATGAAGTTGTGAGAATTTCATAGTTTGGGGTATGGTTTTGTAAATTGAATCCCATGGTTTGGGGTATGGTTTTGTGATTTGCCCGACGAAGAATCGATAGCGCGAGACACAACCTACCAATGCCGGCAAAGCTGGTTGATCAAATGGATAACTATCCACTCTCCCGCCCATAATAGTTCTGCATACAGGGAAACTTTCTCCCCCGACCCCCAACCCCCACCCCCAACATTCCCCCTTGCCCCGCCCCACCACCCCACCCGTCAACGAGCAACCCTCACCCCGATCCAACCGACGACCCGTCATCGAGCGACTTCCTCGGCGGCCGCTTGGCGAGATACTCATCGACGAAGCCGCGGAAATCCTCCGGGCGATACGGCGAGAAGAGCTCCGAGAGGAAATTCCCCTTGCGGCGCGGATTGATGCCCGCGTCCTCGCAGAGGCCGTCCAGATACTGCGGCGACCACGGGTCAGAAACAAGTCCCACACACACACACACACACAGAAGGAGGATGTATATAGAAGAAGGGGGGAAGGGAGGGAGGGAGGAAAAAAAGCAGCAGCATACCGGCAAGAAATCGAAGATGCAGTACGGGAACTTCTGGCCTTGGCTGATGTACCGCTTCCGGGTCCAAACGTTCCACTCGGCAATCTCCCGCGTCATGGTCGCTTCGTCGGGGAGGTCGAGTTCGCCGAGGAGGTAGAGGATGCTCCAGAAGGACTGGATCTCCGACACCATGGGCGTCTGGATCGTGTGGATCTGGCCGAGGATGACGAGGGAGCGGTCGTCCTTCAGCGCCAGGTTCAGGGGAACGGCGCGCTTGTAGAGCCGCCAGCGGCGCTGGGCGGAGGCGTCGTTGGCCTTTGGGGTTTTGAGCTCGGGGCCTTGGGCCAGGAAGGGCAGTCGTTCGTCGACGGTCTTGGTCGCGGCGACGTCGTGCTTTTCCCACGCGATATCTTCCTTCGATCGGCCTCCGGGGAGGGTGTTTGCGAATGCGGGAAGACCCAACTCGGTTTTCAGCTCGGCGTCGAACATGCCGAAGTGGTCGCCCCATCCGGTGCAGGAGACGATGTAATCGGCATGGAGCACGTCTCCGGATTGTAGAAGCAATGAGTCGCCTTTGACGCTATCGATGTTGTCACGGACGACTTTCAGGTCGCCACCGTGAAGCGTTGGCCAGAAATCTGGAATGGTGACGATGCCAAGTCCGGAATTGCACCAGAAGGCACTGAGCCGGTCAGTTGTCGCTCTGACAAGTGGGATTGCGTGGACGTACCTTTTCTCCTTCACTTCGGGCTTCAGAGCGGCAATATGATCCCCTTTCGCGAAACCGGCGTCCTTCTCACTCATATGGGTAGTATTGTCCCAAAATGCACCAGTGATCCACCGTCCAATCGCAGTCCTTTGGAAGAAGGAGCAGATAGGGCCCGTGCTGTTGATAATCGAAGGGCTCAGGTAAGACATCAGACGAGTTGAACCAACGGCGATGCTGTTGCAGCCAAACATTTCGGTGGGGAGGATGGGCATTGGTCCGGAGCCATCGGGTCGAATGAGCCACGTCACTTTCTTTCCCATCGAGAGGAGCAGGTAGACGGCGTCATAGGCAGACTTGGCAGCTCCAACAACGACAGCGCTTTGAACGTCGTCCGACTTGAGATCTTCGACTGATGCACCGAGATCTCTGGAGTGAGTCAAGGGTATTGAAGCCTCAGACATGTCAAACTCGGGCATGTTGGGGATGGATGTGACGCCGGTAGCTACCATTAGCTTCGCAGTCTCGATGATATTGCCGGAGCCTTTGAGTCGAAGGCGCCATCCACGAGGGCACCGCTCAGCTTTCTCGACCCAGTTATTGAACTGGATCCGGCGAAGAAGATCATGATCCCGAGCATACTTCTCCAAGTAATCCTGAATCATGTATCCAGTCACAAGATCGTTCTTCGTTGCTCCCTCTTTGGGCATTGGAGTATCTGTGTAATTGAACAGGCCATGCTTGACCTGAGCTACCAGATTTGGATAGATGCGATCCTTGCTCCATACTCCGCCGACAGAGTTGGCTGACTCGATGATCGCAATATTGGTATCAGGTTCAAGTCTCAGGTACGTTCGAGCGGCCACAAGGCCATACCAACCTAGCGAAACGCATGAGCATGGGATTATTGAGGCATCCCTCATTCAAGCTGTGAGCACTCACCGGCACCGATTATAGCGACATCGACCACCTTAGGCGGCGCTGACAGCGTCGTTGCGTGGGGCATTGTGAAGGGCGTGAGTGGAGGAAGGATTGACAATAGAGGATTGGATAGAGATTGAGCAGAGTGCTAGGTAGACCTGTCTGAAGAAATTCGAATGCATTTGGAAGAAGTGCTTGTGCCTTGATCCTTTTTAGACCATTCAGTCAGACCAGAACAATTGTCGCTAACCACCAGGAAGCATCACCGACAGACTCTGTGTTCTGAGCAGCATTGGGCCGAGTCCATTTCGATCTTGACCGGACCGAGTAATGTACACTAACTCATCCTTCAGTGATTGATGATTGGTATTTCACTTGCCGTCGAATAGTTGCCAATCGGGTCAATGAATGGATGTAAAATATGAGGTAATCCGGCACTAGGCTTCCCACAAAAACTATGTAAACATTCTATATCGCAACTAGGAGCAAATACATCCAAACCAAAACCTACAAGAACACACGTAAAAACCAAATTCTTAAGCCGTTAATACGGGATCGGGAAAAGATAAAGATATGCGCGAGAAGAATCCAAAATACGGGCAAGACTGGTTGAGAATAGAAAACTAAGGGTCCCGATACCAGAAGGCTTAGAAAATGGCGTGACGCCCTAAAGTACTAAGCTATGTACGATATTTTACGAGACGTAAAAATCCTATTCGCAATCAACCAATGGAACGTCAAGTCAGACATCATGAGATTCCAGTCCACCCGAACCATTCAACGAAACGCCAAAGTATACCAAAAATCCAAATGTACAAGCAACGTCCGGCCAAACAAGTACCGATCCCAATACAGAAAAAGACGACTACGAACACGATCATAAGGAAATACTATAGAGAATTACTGGCAATTTATTGCATAAAGAATGAAAAGCATTAAGACGTTAGATTCACACAACAGGGCCGCACTTTCCGAGACGCTGGTACCGCTGAAAAGCCTGAAAATACGCAACCCATACCTCCAAAACAAGGTACCACAATTCATATATCCGCGGATGTTTCTTAGAACCACAAAGCAAATTGCGATTCTATCAGAGAGCTCGATCGCCCTCGAATTACAGTAGAAAAACCTCGAAGCCACATCGACGTCCTCGAAATAAAAGAGAAGGAATATCAGGAGCGTGTACGGCAAAAAGCTACTATGCCTACGATCCGCCGTAAAACCACTAAAAACAGTATAACAATGGAATACTACACTGCGCATCAACTCCGAATTACTATGACTCGATAAATTGGCTAGGATCATATACGGACGTGGTATTTTACAGAAAGACGGTAATTCAAGTCACGGAATAAAAAAGCAAGGAAGATAAGGAAGCCGACATAAAAAACATAGCCACGCAGCTAAAAACGATTATTGATCGAGACTCTAACCACCCCTCAATCACCTAATCTCAATCCAATAGAGAATATCTGAAATCTCTAAAGAACGAGTACATCAAAGAAAAGACAATCAGTACAAGCTCATACGTGATCTCGGAGGAATAGAAGCGGATCAAACTCAGTGAAATTCAGGCCAGAATTACTAAATACCTGGCGATATCGCATGCTACGTAGGGTAACCAAAAAGCTTATTAAATAAACTATGGTAGAAATGTATATATTCGAGTAGTAGAAATAATTGTGTGGTAGAAAGCCAGTAGTAGCCGGGATTACCTCGGAGGATAATACTTTGACGCCCGAGGAGTAGATCTGTACGGAGCAGCATAAGGTACGTACCTTTACCTGGGGAAGCGGTTGTATGTTGTAAGCTAAGCGAGTGATTGATGGATCGACAGGGCCCCGGCGACACCAGTCCCCAAGCGTCTTTAGCCTCCCCGAAGGACGCGGGTACTAGTACCCGTACTCCGGGGCGGCCTTCCTGGGCTTTTAAGGGCGCGCCTTTAGGCCTGACCTGCCCGAGCCCCAGCAAAAGCCAAATAATTTGGGGCCAAGATGCTCGGAGATGCTGCGTCATGGCGCATGCATCGAATCTCGATGCCAACACTACTCACTTTACACTTGATCAACATCCCAGCCGCTAAGCTATTCGCTGACTGAAGCAACAGCGGACAGGATGGCGGATCCAAGATAGCAGCGGAGTTGAGCGATTCGGGTACCTTTGGCATTAGTACTATCCAGCCGCCATTCTCCTATTCTAGATATCGGGCATCCTTGACCAGCGTATGAGCACTTTCGGTATCAGCCCGAAACCTTCAGCACACTACGCATGTACAGTAACAGTATGAGACGGCCCGCACCATGTTCCCGAGAAAAGAAAAGCCCATGTGTAAACGGTTGGACTGAGAAGGATATCTTGTTGAGACAGGATGACGGCCTTGGTCAACGTCATGGTATGTTTATTGTAGCGCTCCTAAGCTGCATTGAATGAAAAGAAGACGGGCATGCCATTGCGACGCTAGGGGCCCGAAATGGACCATTCGGAGTGGCTGCATTGGGTTGCGCTGCTTCCCCCAAAAAGTCGTTATCTAATGTTAGAGCGCGCCGCGCTGAACATCTCTGGATACAACGTATAACACTTAGCGATACGAGGGACTTCGACTTACTGAACCATATAACAACGTCTCCCAATCCGATTGAGACCCACACCTGCTTTCAGACAACAAGCACACACAGAACATATTTGTTCATCCATTGGACGAGACCTATACTTACAGTCAATTACTCCACCACCAGTTACTCTTGAATGTTACTTCACTCAACAACAAAAGCCCACCTTACCAATTCTCTGGCAAAACATCATGCCTTATATCAAAGAAACCAGTGGAGAGGACTGCTCCCTGGAGCCGATTGCTATTTGTGGAATGGGTACGTTATCCTCGAGGCACAGGGTTCTGACTCGGGTGCTAATCTTGCACAGCGTGTCGACTCCCTGGAGCAGTAGATTCAGCGTCGTCTCTGTGGCAGCTACTGAAAGACAAAGGATCCGGCCAAACACCAAAGGTACCCGAGAACCGCTTCAACATCGACTCACACTTCCATCAAAATCTGGAGCGTCCCGGGAGCTTCAATGTACTCGGAGGCTATTTCCTCGATGGCGCCCCTGAAGATTTCGATCCCACATTCTTCAACATGACCCCTGTGGAAGCAATGTGGCTAGATCCACAACAACGAAAAATACTCGAAGTATCTTACGAATGCCTCGAATCTGCCGGACTTAGTCTCGACGCTGTAGCCGGGAGCAATACCGCTGTCTTTATTGGTAGCTTCACGAGCGATTACCAACAGATGTCGGTACGTGACACGGACTTCAGGCACAACTATGCAGCCACGGGTGTCGACCCTGGTATCATTAGCAACAGGATCGGCAATACCTTCAATCTGAACGGCCCTAGGTAAGTGAAACTCAACCGATTTCCTTGCCTCGTTAACAAAGACTAACATTGATGGGCAGCTTCACCATCAACACAGCCTGCTCGTCATCTATTTATGCCATTCACAACGCTTGTCACGCCCTGCGTGCCCGCGACTGTGAGGCGGCAATTGCCGGCGGGGTGAACCTGATCCTCACAGTCGATCAACATATGAACACTGCTAAATTAGGAATCCTATCGCCAACATCGACTTGCCATACCTTTGACGCCTCTGCGGATGGTTATGGTCGTGCAGAGGGAGCCGGTGCTCTATACCTGAAGCGACTGTCGGATGCTATTCGCGATAAGGATCCGATCCGCAGCGTAATTCGCTCGTCCGCTGTCAACACGTAAGTACTAGCTGTTCTCAGATGAACAAATCTATCCTAATGCCTTGATATCTGCAGGAACGGCAAAGTCGAGGGCATGGGAATAACCCATCCCAGTGTCAAGGGACAAGAGCGAGTCGTGCGAGCTGCGTATAAAAGAGCGAACCTTGATCCTGACAAAACAGCGTACGTGGAATGCCACGGGACTGGCACGCCAGTGGGAGATCCCATCGAGGTCAATGCGGTCTCCAATGCTATGAATGATACGAGAAGTCCAGACAAACCCTTGCTCGTTGGTGCAGTAAGTCATTCTCTTTGGTAGCTAAGAGGTCGAATGGTAACATTATCGCTTCACATAGATCAAAGCAAACATTGGCCATAGTGAAGCCGCCAGTGGTATCTTTGCTGTCATGAAAGCGGCTATGATGACAGAAGCTGCGACAATTCCGGGCGTAGCAGGTTTCAAGACCATCAATCCAGCGAGTACGTTTCTGGCTAGCACGAACAAGATCATCAAATAGTACTGACATATCGAACAGTCGATGAGAAGGGATGGAACGTCAAAGTCAATTCCGATACAGTACCTTGGCCAAACGACTCTCCTCTTCGACGGGCTAGTGTCTCTTCTTTCGGCTATGGCGGCACAAACGGTCATGTCATCCTTGAGGCGGTGGATTCCCTCTATCCGTGGTATGAACATGGCAAAGCTAAGGCAGAGGCGAGGTATAGCTATCATACCACAAGGCCTTTCTTGATGGAAGTTTCCGCACATGACAAAGCCACTTTGAAGAGGAATATTGACGCTTATGGAAACGTCGCTGATAGGTTCCATCTTGCTGACCTGGCATACACGCTCAACTCGAGAAGGACTAAGTTCTCTCAACGGGCCTTCACTGTGGCACGCGAAGGTAGTGAAGCGGATGACTTTGCGATGTCTTCATTCGAATTCGGCTCTGCTGGCTCGACCGTCCCAAGGATAGGTTACCTTTTCACAGGGCAGGGTGCCCAATGGGCTGGGATGGCGGTGGAAGCTATGCGAGTATTTCCAACCTTCCTTGATACCATCAGAGAGCTCGACAATGTCTTGCAAAAGCTTGATCCGCCTCCTTCATGGAGCATCGAAGGAGTGCTATTGACTCCAGCCGAATCAAGCAGAATTGCCGAGGCCGAGATTGCCCAGCCGGTGTGCACAGCGACGCAGATTGCGATCGTGGATCTGCTCCAGCAATGGGATATAGCGCCGTCAGTCAACGTGGGCCACTCGTCTGGCGAAATCGGCGCCGCTTACGCCGCTGGTTTGCATTCCGCTCCAGAAGCAATCATTGCTGCCTTCTACCGTGGCTTAGCTGTGAAGAACGTCGCGCCTACGGGTACCATGCTCGCTGCTGGGGTTGGAGTGAAGGAAGTCGCCCACTTTATCGCAGACTTGAGCGAAGATGTGATCGTCGCTTGCGAGAACTCTCCCAGCAGTGTGACTCTAAGTGGCAATTCTACAGGAATCCAGGAGGCGAAGAAACGACTCGATTCGGCGAAGATTTTCGCAAGAGAGCTGAAGACTGGAAAAGCCTACCATTCGCCTCAGATGAGCGCCGTGGCTCCTGTCTACAACGATCTGCTCTCGAAGGCATATCGGAAGCTGGACCAGGAAAGTCTGGAATGGCGCCGACCAAGGGCAACAATGATCTCCTCGGTGACGGGCAAAGAGTATGAAGAAGACCACGTGCCAATCCAATACTGGAGCGACAACCTCCGTAGCCGAGTTCGCTTTGATTCCGCAATCACGACCATGGGACAATTCGCTGGCCTAGAAGACGTCGGATGTATCATCGAAATCGGACCCCATTCAGCACTCGCTGGACCGTTCAAACAGATCTGCTTGGCCAACAACTTCGATCAGTACAAATATATCCCGACCTTTATCCGAAAGTCGGATGACTCCATTCAGCTCCTCAAGACTGCTGGAGAGCTTTTCTTGCAAGGTGTTCCCCTGGATATTGAAGAAGTCAACCGAGTTGAAAACGCAAGCGATACGATCGACTCCAGAAAGCATGGAGGTCCACGGTTGCTTGTCGATCTGCCACCTTATCAGTGGAATTACGAAAAGCGCTTCTGGGCAGAGCCTCGATTCAGTCACGAACAGCGTCATCCCAAGCATCCTCGCCACGATCTTCTGGGGAGTAGAATGCTAGGTCTGTCAGACCATTCTCTTGTATGGAGGAATGTTCTGCGTCACAGAGATATTCCATGGCTGAAAGACCACCGGGTAAGTCCTCAGTCAACCCTGCTTTACTTGACAGTACACTAACTGCCTTCAAGCTCGGCAATGCGGCTGTTTTCCCAGCTGCAGCTCATATGTCATTAGCAATTGAGGCGCTTCGACAAGTTTGTCAGACAGAAGGTGCTGAGATCCAAGGCGTCACCCTTCGAGACGTTGATATCAAGACGGCTTTGGTGATCCCTGAGAAAGATAACGGAATCGAGATACAGCTTAGGTTCCAAGAACTAGCCATGGCTGAAAAGACAACAATGTGGTACTCGTTCGCGGTTGAGTCCATCACCGACGAACGATGGACAACTCACTGCGAGGGACGGATTGCTGCCAAGCACAATCTTCCAAGTTCACCGCGAAAGCTTGAATCGCCAGTCGATGTCTCGAAGTTGACTCAACGCGTACCAGGGAAGAGATGGTATGAGGCATTCAACAGAGTTGGGTTCGAATATGGACCAGCTTTTCAGCCTCTCACTCAGATCAGGACGAATGGCAAAGACCACGAGGCTGCAGCAAATGTGGATGTCGCCACTGAAAGTGGTATGATGGATGGGGAATCCAGATACATCTTACACCCTTCGACGATCGATGCTTGTTTGCAACTCATCATCGTTTCCATCAACGCCGGTCTTCACAAGGAGATGGCCTGTGGCGTCGTGCCCCTACAGATGGAAGAGGTCAATCTGTGGTTTCCCAACGAAGAAGCAGGGTCAAGAGGTCATGCGGTGGCATGGACTGATGAACTGAATGGTCGCTACTTCAACACCCATACTAAGCTTGCAACGGAAAGCGGCGAGCTAGTGTTAGATGTGAAGAGCATGCGTTGTGTGTCATATGAGGCAGCGGTTCCTCAGAATGCCACTCAGGCTCGCAGCAGAGAACCATACATGGAGGTCTCGTGGAAACCGGATGTTACCACTCTCACCTCGCCACAAGCAGTCCAGGTTTACCCTCATGTCCAGTCCGAAGTAGACGCAGTCGGAAAGATTGTTGAGTTGATTAATCATAAGGGTGCCATTGACAGTGTCATTCTCCTCGGCGAGTCGCTAATCGAATTCGTTGACGCGCTCAAACAATACCTTCCACCGACCACTACTTTCACGATTGGAAGTCGCTCTGCAAAGGCATTGGACCACTTCCAATCATCCATTCAGGATGAGCGGACTTCCACACTCTTGCTATCAGAAGAGTTGTCTGAATGGAGCGAGACCATTGGTGAGAGGCATGGCCTTCTTATCCTTGGGGATTGTATGCTTCAGACCAAAATACAGATGGATTTGCTAAATACAGTCAAGCCTTTCGTCGGTGAGAATGGCAGCCTGATCTCGATTGTGAAGGACAGTTCCGACAACAATTTTGCCAAAGCGCTCAGCTTATGCGGCTATTCGGATCTTGGGTCCCAGTTCCATCTCTCGGATACCAGCGTGATCCATTCCCAGCTGTCAGCTTCAATAAATAACGTACCAAATACCGATGAGAAAATTATGATCGCCACCATGGATCCACAGCGACCTTCCGTACAGGACATCGCGAAACAATTGCGAGCAAGAGGCTGCAACGTGCATACTGAGCATATCTCGAAAGTCGAGGTCTCAGAGGCTACTAAGATCGTCATCGACGACACAGAGGGCACCATGCTATCCAAACTCCGCGCTGACGTCTTTGAGGCGCTGCAGAAGATTCTTTGCTCAAGCTTGCCGGTCGTTTGGCTCACCAGCGGGGTCAATCAAGGCGAGGTGATTTTCGGAGGCATGAGCCAAGGGTTTCTTCGGGCCATACGATCTGAGCAAGCTGCAGCTCAAATTACGCTGCTAGATGTTGACGTTGATGAGAACCTTGGATGCATTGGTGAAACCCTCCACCAGAAGCTCGGAAATGTGGCAACGAAGAACTCTGGTAAAGATACCGATTTCTGGCTTCATCAAGGAGTGCTCTATGTGAGCCGGGTTGTTCCAAATGCAACCTTGAACGACCAACTCTCCGCTACAACAGATGCTACTGAGCACTCTGTCCTTCCAGCGGAGACGGCGCTTTGCGGCAGAGTCGTCAATGGAGAGCTCAATCTCTGTCCGAGAGCACCAGAAACTCAGGAACTTTCAGACCTTGAGGCCGAGATTCAGGTGGAAGCATCTGAATTCCAAGCAGACGATGTGCAGTCTGACAATGAGCCGCCCAGGATTGTGCTGGGAAAAATCGTCAGAGTCGGCAGCAGTATGGACGCAGCCGCCATCGGTCAAACCACCGCCTTGTATACGAAGGAAGGTTATTCCACTATGGTGAGAGCCACTGAGCACATGTGTGTCGGTGTTGCAGGTTTCGATGTGGCGCGTTTGGCAGCAACTTTACCCAACTTGTGCAAAGCGGTGAACTGTCTCAAGGCAGGGAACGTTGAGCCGGGCGAGCATGCGCTGGTTCTTCCTGCACCTCTGCCTATCGTGGGCGCCATTGCTGGTCTCAGCCGTGCATTCAACTTCAACATCACGCTGGTCGTGGAGACTGAAGAAGAGAAAGAAGAATGCCTCCTCAAGTACCAAGTGCCTTCCGGATCGATATTACTGGCCGAAGAAACCGAAACGATTCGCAAGCTCGTGTCAGGAACCTCTACCAATGTGCCTAGCATTGTGATTGCGAGCGACTTCTCGCATTTGAGTCGGGAAATATGGAGATTCATGCCAGCAATGGGTCGCTTCGTCCTTAGCGATGGATCTGTTGATGCGAGGCCAGATGTACTTCCTTTCACAAAAGGTGCTTCGTTCATTCCCACAGGCATCGGTGCTCTTTACAGACAGAGTCAGGCTTCCGCAGTCCTGAAATCAACACTCGACATTCTGAGGCTACACAGACAGCTTTTGGTCCAAGAGCCTGCGGTGCATGATATCAGTGCACTGAAGGAGATGAAGAGCTTCTCAGACTCCTCCGCGAAACTGAATAACGGTGTCGTTGCGTATAATTATGGAGAAAGCTCTGTCAAGGTATGTGCCCTTTTACGAAAAGACAAAGGTTCGTCCTAATCGTCTACTTCAGATTCAACCGGCAGGCAAAGAGCTCCGTTTCTCCCCAAATGCTGCTTATCTTTTGGTTGGTTGTCTTGGCGGATTGGGTCGCAGTCTAACTACCTGGATGATGGAAAAAGGGTGCAGAAATTTTGCATTCATATCCCGCTCCGGGGCGGACAAACCAGAAGCTGCAAAAGTTGTTGAGTCAATCACGGAAGCTGGTGCTTCTGCTCAGGTATTCAGGGCTGATGCTACGATTGACACGGACGTGGCGAAGGTTGTTTCCGCGGTCAATGCAGCCCGTCCGATTCGTGGTGTTGTCCACGCTGCTATGGTACTCCAGGTGAGCATCTCAGATACACACGAGCTTGGACATCGCTGATGATAATGGCAGGATGGTATGTTCGAAAACATGACCTGCGAGAAATTTGCTGCTGCAGTGAACCCCAAGATGATGGGTGCATGGAACCTTCACAAAGCTCTGGGTGATACACCGCTGGACTTCTTCGTAATGACCAGTTCCATCTCGGCGGTACTTGGTAACCCTGGACAGACCAACTATAGCGCAGGCAACAGTTTCCTTGACGCTCTCGCCTGGCATCGAAACCAGCATCGCCTCGTTGCGAGCTCACTGGCTCTGCCAATGGTTCTTGACGTTGGGGTTGTGGCCGAGAATGAGAATATTGAGACATCGCTCTCCCGCAAAGGAATGTACGGAATCGATGAAGGAGAGATGCTCCGTGGTTTCGAGACGGCCATGATGCAAGCTAAGCCTGGCGCCAACGAGCCTGCTCGTATTGGTAGCGCTCAGATCATACTCGGCCTTGAACCCGTCTATCTCGCCGAAGCACTAGCCTCTGAGGATGTCGTTGATGCCTATTGGTACAACGATGCTCGCTTGAACGGCATCAGAGCAAACGTTGAGGATATCCTCAGTTCTTCAACATCCAGCAGGGGCTCCGGTGGCGACTTCGTGGGCTCTCTGAAAGCAACCATGGCGGAAGGTCCTGACGCCGTGACTGAGGCTATTGCTCTGCACATTATGAAGAGGTGTTCAAGCATCCTCATGACCGCGGTCGAAGGATTCGACTTCGATGGCAAGTCCATTGCGGCGTACGGCCTGGATAGTATGATCGGTGCCGAGCTTCGAAACTGGCTTTTTAAGGAATTCGGGTTGGATATTGGCTTTCAAACACTGCTTGCGCCAACCCTAACGTTCAAAGCGTTGTCAGCGACGGTGGGCGAGACATTGGGTGTCCTGAAGATATAGGAGCCGGCATGACTGTAGCGAAGAGACTGCTATACACATGAAGCAACAAGACAATCAATGTAATGAAGATGTTTGCGTTTAAGATGGTGATAATGTAAGAATAGCGTTTCTATGTGCTCAAAGTGTCATTCATCTCAACTGGTTCAAAGTGAGTAGCATACTAAGCTGACCTGAATTATCAACTTCACAGCTATAACTCGGGTTGTAATACGTATCGCAGGTTGGGAGAGAATCGTAGGATGAATCAGTACCACAGGGCAAGAGCGTGCTGCAGGGTAAAAGACACAGAGGCCAAAGTTCCCTACCAATAGAAGGGCTTATATAACATCTCAGCGGTCCCGACAATGCACACATCTGCGAGCTGATAATAGTCAATACGCGCGAAGTTGGCTTTACGTTCAGTCTTTTCTTGTAGAGTTGGAGATCATGATAAGGAAACCACGGCCCCTGCTCACGGAGGTCATGGCTTGTCGTGCCAAGCCTGTTGCTCTTGGCACCGGAGCATTTGCCAGTCAAAATTCTTTCCAACGAATCCTCCGAGCTCGCTCATCCCATCCTATCATCTTCTCGAACCTCCACTCTATACTTCTCAAAGCCAGCGGAATGCCCGCAGAGATATGTCCTCATCTGGCAAGGTCAGAGCAAAGGACCACACCAACATCCATTACCCGTTTTGGTTTGGAGGCTCAGCATCATGCTTCGCCGCCTCCGTGACACATCCATTGGATCTGAGTACGAGCGCAAGACCTTATTGAGAGAAAAAGTAATGATCGAAAGCTAATCGAGTCAATAGTAAAGGTAGAGGTTAACCCCTGGAAATCCTCAAGCCTGAGCTTACTCCAAGCAGGTCCGCCTCCAAACACGAACTCCAGATGGCCCCAAGGGCATGCTCGGCACTTTCGTGCACATCCTCAAGGCCGACAGTGTATTGGGCCTCTACCGCGGCGTATGTCTTTCCGACTCCCACCCCCCAAACTTTCGCCTCCTCCAACCACCAAACGCTCAAACCTTGCTAAAATCTCCCCCAGCTCTCCGCCTCTCTTCTCCGTCAACTAACCTATTCCACCACCCGTTTCGGCATCTACTCCGAACTTAAAGGGACCTTCACGACCGCGCGCTCCTCTCCCTCCCTCCTCTCCTTAATCGCCATGGCCAGCGCCTCCGGCTTCCTAGGCGGCATAGCCGGCAACCCAGCCGACGTACTCAACGTGCGCATGCAGCACGACGCCGCTTTACCCGCTGATAAGAGAAGGAACTACAGGAACGCCATAGACGGACTGATACGGATGACTCGGGAGGAAGGCTGGCGGAGCCTGTGGCGTGGCGTCTGGCCGAACAGCATGAGGGCCGTGCTCATGACGGCGAGCCAGCTCGCGAGCTACGATAGCTTCAAGCGGGTCTTGCTGGCGAAGACGTCACTCGAGGATAATCTGACGACGCATTTTACCGCGTCCCTGCTTGCGGGCTTCGTGGCGACGACGGTGTGCAGTCCTGTGGATGTGATCAAGACACGGGTCATGAGCGCGAAAGAGAGCGAGAGTCTGCTGGGGCTGTTGAGCAGGACCGTCAAGAATGAAGGCGTCGGGTGGATGTTTCGGGGCTGGGTGCCGAGTTTTGTGCGGTTGGGACCGCATACGATTGCTACTTTTCTGTTTTTGGAACAGCATAAGACGATCTATCGGCAATTGAAAGGATTAGATAAGTGATTGATTGGAATTTCGAGTACCGTAGATGCTTTATGCTGCTCTCGAGCAGCGCGTATATATTACTCCCTTTGATACGGTGAGTAAGGCGTTGGTGGCAACAGATACATAGAGCCGTGGGCATTCGTCGGGCATTTGGGAAAGACTGGGGACTGCCTCAGAGGCTCACTCATAGTAGAAAAAGAGACGTATATCATACACCTATGCTTGCAGTTTGAATCTCGTACTCTGAACCCTGGGTATCGATCTGACTTCAAAGGTCTTCAGCACGCAGTAGCTGACGTCTCTCAACCTCACTCATAGCTGGATTTCACTCTCTAAACCGTAATATGTGACTTCTGATCTAGATATGGCATGAACTACCCCAGTCCTCTGGAATCCCTCGAATCTCGGACTAGCCAATCCGTTCCTCTCCATAGATACATTTCGCAAGCATCCTTTGTAGCCCTCCGACAGTACCAAAACCCATTCGCCGAATCTTTGAGTCCTCCTCTTCACCAAACATTACTCTCCAAAAAACGAAAGCTCGTAGTATGTACAGGCATGCAAAACAGTTCAATATGCACATCCAAAATGGTAAATCTCGCCATCCCTTCTCGTTCCCAACTCCTCTATCCACATTTGCTCTTGCCTTCCAAAGTCGTAAAATTATTTCTCGGATGCCGACCGATGTATATCCCGCGGGGATCATTCTCTTGACTACCCATGCTGAGAATGGTCGCAGCTAATGGGGCCAAGGGTTAGAGAAATTTATCGAGGGCCTGTCTTCAACGGTGAGCGTGTATTCTGTTCTGTTCTCAAGCATCGATGAGACCACGGAGAATCGATACTCGCAGTCCGGAATGCGGAATGGAAGGACTCACATTGCACGGATCCGGTATCTCATCTCTCTCAACGTCGTCCTGATGACTCGGTAGGTAAGCGATGTGAATGCTCGCGCTCCCCAAGCTACTGCCGTACGAAGTCCTCTTCTCCGGAAAAACCTCCCTGGGAGGTGGAGCGAGCAGTTGTGGAGCCTTGCGCGCATCTTTCGGTGGGGTCCGAGGCGGGAGCAGCAACGGCGTCGGTGAGGAAGGGAGGGCAGGCACCGGAGAGGTTTCGTCTGCGGGTAGTTCCACTGGGTGCCTTGTTTGGTTGAAGAAACCGGGGGCCGGTAGCTCTGCCAGCTGATCCTCGCGCGTGCGCTTGGGGTTCATTGTCATTTGCGCGCCAGGCCTCCCTGGCATGATGTAGAAACCATCGACCAGCGAACGCTGGTGCTTCAGTCCCTGTCGCGTGCGCGCGCTGTCGACACGGACTTCGGCAAGAAGTTTCGTTTCTCCGGGAAGCTGGACCTTGATGGATTGCGCTGAGGTGGGCAGGCCTTTGCGGTAGATGAAGTTTTGTTTTTCGGCTACGTACGTAGTGAGTACGAGAACGAAAGAGGAGGTCGGACAAGTCGCGCACTGTAGACTCACCGTCGATATCTTCGATCTTCTTTAAGGTATAGACTCCCGTGCTGGGGTCGAAGACGAGTACGGTTGTCTTGTTCTCCGTGTTGGAACAGGACGCTCGTAACTTTTTGAACTGGCAGACAATACATGAGGATGGCGGGATCCGCATGGCAAGATTATCGACCAATGCAGACATTCCGGCAAGCAGCGAAGAGCAGAGCGCAGCCACAGACGCCAAGTACGCAAAGAAGAAGGATCGGAGGTGAGCTTGAGAAGATGACTCTGGGCCCAGTATTGGAGCGAAAGACATTCTACTTTCTTGGATGCTGGCACGGTGCTTTCGTAAACTGTTCCGATTTGAAATCGAAGATAGCTTGAATGGACGAAAGCCATAAGTTTCTTACCCCTAGTGCGCCGGGCCACCGAAAGAGAGGTTCCGACTCAACGGGTGAGGGTGCTATGGTGTCATTTGTGAAGGGAAGGTAATTGGGTCTGGCGAGAATTGATGAAGCACGGCAGAGTACCCCCACTTCACTTTCCTAGGTAATCAAACAGCAAAAGATAAGGCCCTACCGAATCGGCCAAGGAGCAAAAAGGTTATCATAGCTCCTATCCAATAGAAGCGAAGAGAATGTGGCAGACATTGCTGAAGCACGACAAAACTGCCACTTTCGGCGCTAAAGGACCAAGCGCTAAAGGAGACATACCAATAGCGGATCTTGACAATGACTGGGAATAGTACGGGGCTTATCCGCTCCTACGTCCCAAAACATCAATATAATCTGAGACATTACGCTACTGTGCTGATTTCAGAGGTAGATAGTTAGCATTGTATGTAAGATCTCGAGCAAGCAAGCAACGCCCGTGGTAAATTCCGAATACATATGTTGGCATCGTAGACAAGATTTCGAGCCAGCAAGGTCCGGCAAACCTCTCACGGCAGGCTGCATATTGGTTGGCAATCAGCGAGGCTGCGCTGGCACGATCGGGTGCAAGAAATCGGGAGAGCTGATCAGGCACGGGCTCAAACCACGCAGCATCCTTTATGCAGCCAAATCATGAAACCCCCAAACCTTGAAATTACGTGCCAAAAAACCCGAAACATGATACAAACGACTGGGTACAAGCTGGCAGAGCATGATGCCTGGGGTCGTTAGCTTCATAACGTGATGGGATGATCTCGAAACATGCCTAGGTGGCTCAAGTTCCAGCGTCTGGCTCGACTATTGCCCAAGCGATTGCGTGACCCTCATAAGCTGAGAAGCTTTTGTCGCCGTCCGATAAGGCGTATTCCCCAAATGCAAGCCATTAGGCTAAGCGCCCGCCGTTACAATGCACAGGCTTAGGATTGGCAAGGCGGCTGCGTGATTCACACTGCGAGGCTTCTGCACAGCGATCGATCTGGGCTTGATCAGCAGTGGAAATTACCACTTGTCTCCTAGGGTTCAAACAAATAACCTCCGTCCTAGATTGATTGGTGACGAAGGCTAAAAGCACCGGAACTAAAACAAGTGGGGCTTCAACGGGAAGCCCTGCTGACGCACCCCGAGACCTTACATCCGACGATTCGTGCCGCACCGAACCTCTTGCTCCTCTATTCTGCAAGCTCTAGGTTGAGATGAATGCATGACTGCAGCCTGATCGGTTCCAAGAAGTGTTATGGGATGTTTCACCGGTGCTAAAGCACGATGACGGGATTCTATTGCATGAAGCTGGAGGTTCGGCTTGCCAAGCCCATGATACCCCTCTTCCTTTTTCCAAAACGCAGCATCTGCGTTCTGGAGATTCGCTTCAAGTAGAGTCATATTCCAGTAACTGTTCGTTCACTTTTGGATACATTCGCAGCCTCGATCCTTGGACCTAAGGCTTCACCAAGTTGCTCTTTGGCAGGGTCACTCTCCGTACCTTGACCTGTCCACACGCCGACACTGACATTGTCCCAAAGAAGAGACTTTACAAACATTGAGTTCAAAGAAGTTTAGATCGTGTGCGTTGTTGCTATCCGAAAGTCTTCTGCCCAGCTGATACGCCATAGATTCCCACACTCTAAGCAGCCATGTGTTATGTATGGGAAGGCAATATAGAGAAGTGTCAACACTGTTCAGAAACCGATTTCCAAACAGTGCTCCGAATGTTTTGGAACATAGAGCCTGCCAGGCGAACTCACCAACTGGTCGCTCGCACAACCCAACATTCCTTCAATCAAGACGCACCGTCATCCTCGAGACAAGACGCTCATGTGGATTTGCACAGAGATCTGGCCGCCGGAACTCTACGTGAGCATGCTCATAAACTGTCGTATCAGGTCGGACCCTCTTCCTCAAGATATGATGCTGGAATCGAAGTTTCCAGCCAGTATAAGCGGCAGAAATTGAGCGGAAATCAGACCTCTTTCGCAAGACACGACACTAGCATCAATGGGCGGCAAGAAAGGCACCCGGACCAACACCCTTCCTCGATACACAACGCTCGTGTTCATGGGCCGCCTCAAAGTGGGCAGCAAGCAAAGCACGCGGTCCAAGCATATTCAAGACACAGCGCTCGTACTGCTGGCACGGTACCGAGTGGGCAGCAAGGAAGCAGCCAAAGCCAACCCTCCTGCTTGAGACTGGACGCTCGCATGGATGGCGCAGCTCGAAGGGGACAACAAGCAAAGGACCAAGACCCATCATCTTCCTCCATACACGATACTCTCAGTGACTGGACAAATGGGCGTGGGTGGAAGGAAAGCCACCAAGACCCACCGTATTCATCGAGGCACCACACCACCACAGACCTGACAGGCGAGGACGAGCATCAAGGGCCGAGCCAAAAGCTTTCTCAGAACCATCACCGCGTTGAAGACATGGAGGTGTTGACAGCGGGGATGAACAAATTACCCCCTCCATGCTGGGGAGACGAAAGGGTCATTCTCCCCCTCGCCCAAGAGCAGTTGAGGGAAGAAGATTTTCACAGACGCCAAGAGCAGGAAATGGATGACATCTGGGGTATGTATGCAAAAGAAAGAGAAGCGCTGGCGGCTGTCCACACCCCCGAACCGGAGAAACATTGGACACCTGTGTTTGAGGAGCCGGGGATTTTGGAGCGCAAAACTCCTCTATGGGACGAGGTTTGGGCACACTCTGTGCTAGAAGGAGAGGCTTGGATGCGTAATTTATTGGGCGAAAACGAAACTTGGCCGCAAGACCCACCAGCAGAAGCAGACATATGGACGCGTGAAGAAGGTGGGATGTTGAGTGCGGCCGTTTTGAAACGACTTTTGCGTGTATTCACTATTCAGGCGGCACAGGAAGAAGAACGATTTCAAGATTCACTGAAGGACGAAGGACCTCAAATATCAGACGAAAGCGACACGGTCTCTTCCATATTGCGAAACCCAGAAGGGGATGAGGTTACACTGAATTTTAGCGAGGATTTCACAAGCGCGGGTTATCCGCCTTTAGCTTCCCAAGCGCAGCATTGACAGGGATCAATCATTCAATGGTCTTGGCATCAGTATATCGAGACTTCGAGTCATTGAATGGTCGAGTCACTGTGCTTTGCTACTTTCCTTGACCCACGCTACAGCTTGCAATATTGATGCTTTTACGATCCCAAATGGAGAGCGGAATTGCATCTTGACCCACGTTACCAGATCTGACAGCAACCTGCACTGGGCAGATTTTCGCGGCTCAATCCAAAATATACTTGCCCAGAATGCTCTCAAATACCCTGATAGGCTCTGTGTCGTTGGGACAGCATCAATTACATTGTTACAGCGCAATTTCATTACCAGCAGATCCATGAAGCGTCTAATGTCCTAGCCTGATACTTCATGGCATACAAAGAGGGGATGTTATCATGATCTATGCATATCTTTGGGTAGAATTCATTGTCTCAATTATGCAGTCTAGCAACCTTATCTCCCAGTCTTAGGTGTTATAAAGGCTGGGGCTACATTCAGCGTCATAGATCCTGCTTATCCTAGCGATTGCCAGATAGTCTATCTCGATGTGGCACGGCCTAGGGATTTGATCATGCTAGAGAAGACATTGCGGAAAGAAGATGAGATTCCGCGACAAGTGTGAAATTGGATTCACGGCAATCTCAACTTAAAAGCAGAAGTACCAGCATTGGATTTGCTGGATGATGATACCCTGAGAGGAGGAGCTAATAGTAATGGCAAAGATGTTTTCTCGCCAGAGAAGCAGCAGTTGAGAATTAAACATCCAGGAGTAGTTGTCGGACCTGACTCTAGTGCCTAATTACGCGTGGATCTGAAGGCCGAACAAAAGGCGTCAGTGGTCGCCGTTTCTCGCTTGCTTACTACGTCCCTTTCATGGCCGAGTGAGTCAATCTCTCGGATAATGACCAATCTACTATGCTGTCAGGCATAGCCCACGATCCTATCCATAGAGATATCTTCATCCCCTTAAACCTCGGTGCCAAGTTGCTGGTACCTGCGAAAGAAGACATTCAGTATCAAAGGCTTGCTGAATTGCATACAAGTCAACAGTGACCCATATCACCCCAGCTATGGGCCATATCGTTGTCGGCGGTGCCACTGCAGAATTCCCGTCATTACATCATGCCTTTTCCGTTGGAGACGTTCTCATCAAGCGAGACTGCCGACTACTGCAATCATTGGCTGCTAACGTCCGCAGAGTCAATGTATTTAGCACAACAGAGACAAAAGGAGCAGTCAGCTACTGTGAGATTCCATCTCGAAACGAGGACCTCCGACACAATACCGACTGGGCGAGGTATGCGAGATATCCAATGTCCCGTAGACCGTGAATCCTTGGGAAGGGAAAGTCCTAGGTTGTGCAAGGTTGGAGGTTTTGGCGAGATTTTACGTCGGTGCTGGAGGCCTAGCTGAAGGTTATCTTGGCTCTGACGAGTTGAACCGCGAGAAAGTTGTTCTGATTATTTTTCCCTCGATCAAAATGCCTGGATCGAAGCAAAAGGTAATGGCTTTGACGAGCGTCGTCAAAGAGAGCCTTGGCGAGCGTTCTGGAGAGGCCCTCGTGATCGAGTGTACAGTCCCACACTCAGCCATTTGAACAAATTGGAGGTGCAATACCACTGACAGAAGTAGAAATTGATTAGGAGATTTAGGCTATCATACAGACAGCCGTGATACTCAGTGCTCTGATCGAGCTGATGGCCAAGTCTCGATCCGCGGTTTCAGGATTGAAATCGATACACGTATATCACATCATCCACATGTCAGATAGAACGTCACACTGGTCGGAAGAGATAATGATGAGGAGCCAACCCTTGTCTCATGCATTGTACCTGCCACGGAGGGCCTGCTCTCCGGACGGTACCAAAGACGACACCATGACTGGAATGCCCAAAAGATTCGAATCATTGCGAGACGGCGTCCGAGCGGGCCCCAAGAAGAAGTTGCCGCCACACGCCGTTCCTTCGGTCATCATCCCGCTCGAGGAGTTTCTTCGGTTCAACATGCCTCATACCCTTGTAGCAGTATATTGACCAACGTCTAATACTCACGGCTTCATGTGTATTGTTCTTCCGAACGAAGCAACTCAAATGTCATGGGAAGAATGTATGACCGGCAGTACTTCTTGAAACAGAGGTGCGCCATGCATTAATTTAAAAAACCTACTTAGTGACCCTTCAACGACATGCGCATGACATCGAAGAAGCAACAAAGCCAAGAATGCTTCCAGATGAGAACTACAGATCATCGAACCCGAGAGGGACTGATTGAGCAGTTCTATGAAGTCATCGCAGAGTTGTACCGCAAGACAAGCGATGACTCAAGAAGTGAAGTGAGCCATGAGCGGGCAAGAATTATGAACAAGGGTTGACCAGGAAAATCTCAGTGCTCCAAATGAAGTGGCGAACATCATAGGGCTGAAGTCTCCACGGCATCGAAATCTCAACATTTTCTTATTGACAAGGACCGTCAACGACCCAATCGAGGATTTCAAGTCTGAAAGGATGCAAAATCGAGGGATCGTGGGCGTTCACGTTGTGTAATGCTACGAAAGATATGTGTGGATGGTTGCTTGATTCCTGGGGTGCTGGCCACTTTTTTTTCGAGCATTGCTTCAACCATATAGAATCAGGCCAAGATGAAGGCAATCAGAATGCTTCCAGATGGGGACTGGGATCATGTCCTTTGGAGCACTGAGATCTTCCTTGTCCACCCGCGTTTATCATCATCGCCCGCTCATGGCTCTTTCCCCTTCATTGATTATGTGACGGATCTTACTCACGGACCTCCACACTTGACAACCGATTGAAAAAATGGAACGTAGAGTATGCTGGAATTGTGTATTGTGCTATCTCAACATCACTATATACTCTGCATTCCAGTGTGCGCCCGTCCATTATTCTCAGCTCAATACCATTCCCTCTTAAGCAATGTTACAATGCTTGGCAAATGTAACCCCGAAATCTCCTGCCCACGGGAGAGTCTATCGACCGTGATCTCCGATTGCATTGGGTCCATGAGACTGGTGTCCTGGATCCAGTGTGAAAATCCCTCTCGGAACGAGGGCAAGCGGTACTGCGACACAAGCAAGGCCTTCTTGTCTAGCTGTAGGGCATGCTCGTAAGAGGGAGGCACCACTTTCTGCATATGATGATGTCCTGAGAGCAGGAAGAACATCCTTTTTCCCATTGCGTTGTGACTAGAGCGACGCATGGGAGTATTCTTCGTAAGACCGAATTCGGAGAGCAGCCGCTGATCTGCTTTAGTTCTTCGTTTAGCGAGAGAGAGTTGAAGGTGCGAAGGGTTTGGCAACGTCACTTGATTGAATAAACCACGTGGAGTGTATATAGAGTTGTGCTGAGTGCGCTGTGGCGCCGAGTCAGCCAGGGTCTGAGGAGAAGCTGATGTAGGGGTGGCCATATCGGCAATGGCTAGAAAGTGAACATTGTTGTGTCGTTCCTGTGGGTTGTTCATTGAGGGAATGGCGTGGAGATGCTAGGCTACCTCTAATTGTCAATTGATCCAAGGCTAGCAATATATACAAAAGGTTAGTCTTACACACCTCTGTACCATGTACACATAGGGCTGGCTCCATTGGCGAACAGTCATACTGTGGGCATTGATTGCCGAAAGAAAGTCCAGACAGTTCCACGTTCTGACTTACCATAGGTCAATTCGTTGGTCGGGTGAACACGGGAAGAAGCATGAATTGATACAACCTTCAAGAATTTGCACATGCGAGAGAAGCGACAATCAATACCCACGGCATAAACAGAGAACATGCGTGATCGAATTGCTAGGCCTATATCTCCATTCACTTATTCAAGAGGCGTGCTATGACAGGAGTAAGATTGCCGGAAACACGTGCAGCTAGATCGGAAACAAGAAGGCAACAACGAACAATAAAAGGCTGCTGCGCCAAGACGACTTCTACGGAAACATTAGCTGCTCTCCACTCAGTCTCCAGAGGCCCATGTATGCGGCTGGAGCTGTCAGATCGTTGATCACCTGCAAAAATTTATGCGTTTCCCCGCAAAACCTTCCGACTGCGAACGACAGGTTCGTGACCGGAGTATTGCATAATCCAGGGTGAATGGGGAGCTCAAAGTGAAAGCGAACAGCATTTTGGGCAAACACCGAAACAACCAGAATGAAGTTTCGGACATGGCAAGTCTAAACAAAGACGGGCACACACTCGTAATTGAATAGACGAGTATAGTGCAACGAGCACGAAAACAGACAAGCGACCAGGTAAGAGGCTCTCAAATCATTAAACGAAAAAAGGGGATGAACAAATAGATCAGCAGCAAAATGGTCAGCAGCACAAACCATACGCACGTAAAAAGCTCCTCTTCTAGTGATCAACGACCGTTGCAGCTATGAAAAGGTGTCTGGAAATGCGTTTTACTAGGTTCTGCCCCTTATTCGATGGCTCTTAATGGTTAGGTAGCCTCCCTCGCAGTAAAAGTCTTATGCCTTTCCTACTTCGTCGGCGTAGTTTCGAGTCGAGAGGTTATCATCTCCGACTGCGATAAATTGTCCTTCTTCGAAAGAGGTGTTCCATCGCTGGGTATAATAGGTCAATCAACCAGCCGCCATGTCAACATGCATGTGCCCATTTCCACCCCTTATTGTCTCTTCTTGTGTACCATCTTTATTGTGCATTTCCATTCCAGCGTACCTCTCCTCAGCAGCTGCAATACACCTAACGTTAGCAGCGGCCTTATTCATCGTCTCGACCCACTCCTCCTCTGGTACACTGTCCCACACTATGCCTCCACCAGCCTGCAGATAGGCAACTCCATCCTTAACAAGCATAGTCCTCAGGGCAATACAGGTATCCATCGCACCTTCAGTCTCTTTTCCAGCCTGATCAACATTTCCGTAGCCAAAATACCCAACTGCGCCGGCATAGACACCTCGTTTCTCCTTTTCTAGCTCAGCGATAAGTTCCATAGCACGGACTTTAGGGGCGCCGCTGACAGTGCCAGCAGGAAATATAGAGCGGAAAGCGTCAAAACGTGATTTCCCTTCTCGCAAAAGGCCACTCACTTGCGAAACGAGATGCTGGACATGGGAGAATTTTTCGACGACCATGAGTCTATCCGTTCTCGTACTGATGGGGTCGCAGACACGATTGATATCGTTGCGGGCAAGGTCAACAAGCATGACATGTTCAGCCCTGTCTTTCAGACTTGCCCGCAATTCGTTAGCGAGCTTGAGATCCTCAGCAAGGGTTGCACCACGCTTAACAGTGCCAGCGATAGGATGCGTAATTATACGATGGGTGTCTTCCTCGCGTTTGACGAGGAGTTCGGGTGAGGCACCCACAAGGTGGAACGTGGAACAAGAAATGTAGAATAGGTATGGTGAGGGATTGGTGGTTCGGAGCTGGCGGTAGATGTTAAAAGGGTGGAGGGTCGTGGGCCGCGCTATGCGGTGGGATGGGACCGCTTGTATTATAGAGCCACGTTGGATTTCTTTCTTGAGGCTGATGACATGAGCCTCGTACCCAGCTTGGCCAAGGTTGGATTCGTAGGTCTGGTTCGGCGCTATTGGAGGCTGAGGCGGAAGAGGTATGTCTTGGGATTGGAGGATCGAGATTGTGGTGGTGAGGTTTTCATAGGCGGATTGATAAGCAGATGAGATGGAGGCGGGATTTGTAGGCGATGGAGGTACATGTAGGTACGTAATGATTTTAACCACCTGGAAGAAATGGTCGAAAGCCACGATTGTGTCGAAGAGCATGAAGAGGGATTCGGGAACTTTGAGAACGTCTTTCATTCTCCGGGCTGTCCGTGGCTCGAAGTATCGAACGCAATCATAGCCCACATAGCCAATGGCTCCTCCGGTGAGTGGAGGTAATATGAGTCCTGGGATGACTGCTTCTCGGTATTGTGCCAACTCTTCCTCGAGAAAAGGCAACGGGTCACACTCAGGTCCATGGCCAGGACCGGTTTTCAGTATCTTCCTTGGATCTGTATGACAAGAACTTAGTACAGTCTGAGTCTTGTGTAGTATGCAGGTCTCACCTGCACCAACGAAACTATATCTGCCAATAGTCTCGGAGCTAGCAGCACTTTCGAATAGGAAAGAATAGCTGGCATTGGACCTAAGACCCCTCAGCAGCCATTCAACAACATTCCACGACCCAACTGACTTAGCCGAGATCTTCAGGTATGCCAGCGTAGGAGTTAATATATCTGCGGGTATCGTCGCACATATCGGAACGAGGTTTGGGGAATTCGAAGAGTTTTGAGATGCAGAGAGTACCTCTTGTACAGTTTCTAATGATGGTTGTACATTCAACTAAGACATGTAAGCACCTTTGTGGCCCGAGAGTACCCTATGAGACGTACTTTAGGAGTCATACTGCTAGGTACATGAGGTTGTGAGTAAGTGATTACCAAAGTTCCATTTTAGCTATAAGAATCAGCGGGTGATCTCCAAGCAGGCATTCCTAGATCCCGCCCCCGCATGAAGCCTAAGAAAGTCTCCGAGGTTCCTCTGCCTAGCCCTAATCACAGTATCACTGCATGCATGGCGGAATATTGACGTTCTTTAGTAAATCGATGCATCTTGATTACCATCTGCGCAATCAAACTTCAATCATTGAAAAGCTAAAGATGGTCTGTATCAAGTGGGAAAGACATTATGGCGCTAACCCAGTGTTCCCAAGGGCAAGTATCATCAAGCATACACAAATCCTGGCACAAACTCACGGCCACGAATCACAATGCTATTTCAATGGCGCAAGTATAGAAGCCTCTCTGTTCGTCATCCTCTGGTCGGCGGAAGCATTTCACAATATTCTGCATCTGCACGACCTCCTCATGAATATCCTCGTCGGCTTTAGATGCCTTCAGCCTCTTCCTCCTAGGCACAACGTATCCAGGTATGCCGGGTGTTGCCTGTCGATAAAGCCGCTAAAATAGAATCTCCCCGCTATGTTCGACCTCGAATCCAAGCTTTTGCAACTTCTTCGCGCGCACCTTGTCGGCCTGTTTCTTTTCCTTGTTCACTTTGACGCTCAGAGCGTGCACTTCCTCTGGAGATACTTTGCGATAAGGCTCAGGTATATAATCGTCCTTGTCAAGATCCTAGATTTGAGAGGAGATCAGACAAAGCGTGCGGTTTGAGTATTGCCTTAGAAGGTGTCGTACAATTTCACCAAGAAGCAGGACATTCTCGCCTCGAACCAGGAATATGCCGCGTACAATATCAGCGTAAACTTCCTGGACGAAGATGCGCTCCATCGTATCCTGCAGGACTAGATTGGCTGTGCAACCGAAGGAACCAATGTTCAGTACACGTATTCTCTCTTCAGCCGATTTCGTTTCGTACCAAATTGATCCCAGCTTCTCAGCACTCCGATGAGCTTTCGTCCATCTCGAAGAACCAAAACTAGCTTCTCTATAGATATTGAACGGCACCCGCCTTGGTCAGTCACACAGATAGATCCTTGCCACTCGTTCGTTGAATTCGTGGCTGTCGCAAGGGAGTCTCACTATCTGTCAGATCCAAAAGTTGGGCGGCGGTGGTAAACATCTGCATTGTCAGCTTTGATGACGCCAGCAACGCGTTACAAAGCTCACCTGTGGTGGAAGTTGCGGAAGTCCTCCTGGAGGCGGAGCCACATGATTCGGGCCTCCTGCTGGCGCCAGGTCTTGTATTGACAGGTTCTCCATGAAATTAGTTGAATGCCAGCTGATATTTCAAGGTATATCCATTGCATAGACTGTAAAATGTTGGATCACTATCATTCTCTACGTCGACATGCACATTGTTGTGGCATTTGCATTGTCGTGGCGGGTACTCCCGCGTAATACAGACAGGGGTCTTCAGCCTTATGGCTCGCAACAAATGCTCGAGAATTCTTCATGGCAATCATCACTTCTCGATGCTTTGACACGATGACACAGCTCAGCCGCGGAACGACTATCGCATCCAAAATTACTTGAGCGGGCTTGCGACGTTACACAATTTTTATTATGGACTACGACAACATGGACGTTGATGAGGTGGGACCTCGAGTAACCGTCCGCGAGGCACGCTATCCTTCTGGAGTATATGCCCTTCAAGACTGACCCACTGTTTCAGGCCGCCACCGACCACGTCGACTTCACCCTTAGCAACGTAGACCTCGCCTTCGCCAACTCCCTCCGCCGAACTATCCTCGCTGAAGTCCCAACCATGGCCATCGATCTCGTCGAAGTCGAAGTCAACACTTCGGTTCTCCCCGATGAATTCATCGCTCACCGACTTGGTCTTATCCCTTTAAATTCCCGCCAAATAGAAGACGTTCTCTACACCCGAGATTGCGACTGCGACCAGTACTGCGAAAACTGCTCCGTCACCATTATGATGAATGCCAAGTGTTCGAAGGACAATGAGGATGTTGTGAAGGTCTATGCAAGAGATCTTATTGTTTCTGAACCAAGGCCAAATGAGTGGGTGGGAAACCCTGTTATCACCGATGAGGCTGGACAGGGTTCTGTGATTTGTAAGTTGAGGAAGGGACAGGAGGTAATAATGAAGTGTATTGCGAAAAAGGGAATTGCGAAGGAGCATGCAAAGTGGGCGCCTACGAGTGCAGTGGGATTCGAGTATGATCCGCACAACAAGCTGAAGCATCTGGATTATTGGTATGAGGAGGATCCAATCAAGGAATGGTAAGGTGCCCTGACTTCTTTAGTTGTCACATGGGAGTAGCGATTTGCTGACACTTCGAATCTCGCAGGCCAAAATCAAAGAACGCTGAATGGGAAGAAGCGCCTCAAGACGGTGAACCTTTCGACTACAACGCCAGCCCCTCCCAATTCTTCTTCGAGCTTGAGTCCATTGGCAACCTGGAACCCGACGCGGTCGTACAACAAGGCATCAAAGTCATGCAACAAAAGCTTGCCGCCGTCTTACAAGAACTTACAGGCGATGACTCAAGGCCTGGCGAAGCGGACGCGGAAAGGTTTGGAGGACAGAGTCCAGATGGTATGCCACAGGGCGGGGAGTATGGGGTCGATCAAGGATATACGACACCGTATGTCAATGGAGGAGCGACGAGTGCATGGGGCGGAGGGGCAACGCCCTATGGTGCGACTCCCTACGGGCAAAATGGATGGAATCAATAAGGAGGCAACAAGATAAAAAGGTTCCGTGTAACATCAGGCATTAAGCGGGCGTTGGGAGCTTGCAGCGAGGTGACTTGGCTAAGTCCTGGATCTTTACTAGAGCATCAGAACTATCAAGTCGAGAGACTTTCATCTCCTGTACCGATTAGTATGGATCTGCCATCGTAAGAAAACAACCCTTCTATACTCTGCAACCCAAGAAAAAAGCTGCCACGCAGGCAGCCACACCTTGGATCCTAGCCTGAGAAACCAAGGAGCCTATGAAACACTATCCTTAGTCAAGACAAAAAGGGCATGATTACCCCTGCGTATAGAGCTAACCAGTGTGGAAATAGTGAAATCCCAATCGAGGCACTCAAAATTCTCAGGTCCGCTCCCTCCTTCCCAACCGACAAAGACACCATGCATGTCCTTGGATCGTAACCCGTTGACATTATCGATCGTTTAAGTATATTATGACATTTTATTTGACCTCCTTGTCCCATCTCCTAGTTTTCTTCGGGTGCGCGCCAAGCCAACGAACGGCATGGCGCCAGGACTACGGCGGACGACGGCTGACACTACGACAAAACCAAAAAAGAATTCTCTTTTCGTTTTTTTCTTCGCGATTTCTAGTAACTCTCTTCAAAATATTCTTTTTAGAATATTCTCAACTCTTCGAGAGGTACTTTTTGAGGCACTCTTTAGGGGCTACTCTCCGGGGTACTCTCCGGGGTACTCTCCGGGGTACTCTCCGGGGTATTCTTCCGGGTACTCTTCGAGGTACTCTCCGGGGCATTCTCCCGGGTACTCTTCGAGGTACTCTCCGGGGTACTCTCAAAATATTTTATGAAGTTCTTCGCAAAAAAAAAAAAAAAAATTACGGGACTTTCAAGTTCCGTGGAAAGTCCCGTAATTTTTTTTTTTTTTTTTTTTGCGAAGAACTTTATAAAACATTTGATCGTACCTCCGTAGTGTTAGTTATTATCCGTCGTAAGTACCCGGAAGAGTACCCGGAAGAGTACCCGGAAGAGTACCCGGAAGAGTACCCGAAAGAATATCCGAAAGAGTACCCGAGAGAGTACCCCGGAGAGTACCCCGGAGAGTAGCCCCTAAAGAATGCCTCAAAAAGTACAGAGGTCTACACCGAAAGTCCTGCACACGCACTAGTGCAGCCCTAACCCTACTTTCGGAAAGCGGCCCTATAGAGGGGAAGCCTAGAAATATCTTCTCACAGCGCATGATGGGACTTAAGGTACTTCTTTTAGCCTTGATAGGGGCAGTAAGCCCCGAAACCTGGCTAGGGCTAGGTGCGATTCCGAACAACTCCAGACGCATTGTCCAGGTAACCCTTTAGGTGGGGCGTTATCCGAAGTCTGAGCGCAAGAGTCTTGGCGAGTGCAGGACTTTCGGTGCAGACCTCTGTACCTCTCGAAGAGTTGAGAACTAGAAATCGCGAAGAAAAAACGAAAAGAGAAATTCTTTTTGGTTTTGTCGTAGTGTCAGCCGTCGTCCGCCGTAAGGACGCGGGCTAAAACGAACCAGCAGGGAGCCAGGACATGGGATAGGCTTTCCAAGCCTACTTTCGGAATCCCAGCTATACTCTCATCACGTCTTTGATAATGCCCCTTCCGTCTGCGATTCTTATATGATATAAAGTCACTGATGAGCTGCTGACCGTGCCCGTTACCCAACGTATTCGCATGATGTCGTTACTGCTGAGACTTTTGCGATCTAAATGGAGCCCACCTGCCAAGACTACATCCACGTTCAATGGAAAGACCGTCGTCATCACAGGCTCAAACACAGGTCTGGGATTCCAAGCTGCTCGTACTTTTCTAGAGCTCTCTGCTTCCCATGTCGTCCTTGCAGTCCGTAATACCTCGAAAGGGGACATCGCTCGCAAGCAACTTGAAGCTCAAACTGGCAGAGATGGGGCCATCTCTGTTCTGGAGCTTGACATGAACAACTTTACCAGCGTTAAAAGCTTTGCCGGACGTGTCAGCCGACAGTTCAAAAGTATCGATATTGTCATTCTAAATGCGGGCCTTCATAATAGAGAGTACGTCACGAGTCCAGAGGGTTGGGAAGAAACACTGCAGGTCAACACGCTGTCTACCGTTCTTCTTGCTTTGCTACTCCTGCCTAAGCTGCGGTCTGCGAGACTAGAAGAATCTGCTTCGTTACCGCACCTTGTCCTTGTTTCCTCAGGATTGCATACCGGAGTTGCCCGATCTTCCCTTCCATCTCCACCCCATAACATACTATCAGCTCTCGATACTCCACCTGAGCCAGCGGTTGCCTTCAATGGCGGGCGTCAATACGCTGTTTCTAAGCTTTTCTTGATGTACGCCGTTAAGTCTCTCGCCTCACTAGCAACGTCACCAAGCGGTGAGCCCCAAATCATTGTCACCTCCTGCTGTCCGGGCTTCTGTGTCTCTGAGCTGGGAAGGCAATACAGCAGCTGGTTTGAGGGTTGGGCTAAGTGGGCTTTCTACGGCTTGTTTGCCCGTTCCACCGAAGATGGAGCTCGAACACTCGTTTGCGCCAGTACACTGGGAGAGGAGGCGCAGGGTGGGTATTTGACGAACGGGGAAATACAGACACCGGGCGAAATGGTGGTCAGCCATGAGGGAAAGGAGATTCAGAAGCAGGTCTGGAAAGAGATAGTCGATGTGTTGAAGGCAAAAGTGCCAGAGGTGGAAAATCTGGCTGTTGCTGCTCAGTAATCAAATATGGTTCATGTCGCGAGACATCAGAGCTCAAAGTCCAGGACTTCCCTTGTTGATCATCTATAAAAGCAGATAATGTCAGCCGGGAAGAGCAGAAAAAGAAAGTTCCTGAATTGAGACTGGGACAATTTGGTAGTACTAGAAATTTTGGCAGGCAAGACTTCTGATTTTCTTACGCCTCTATTGGGCTTCATCCTTACAAAGATGTTATTGGAAGTTAGGCAATACCGCAGTTCAAGCGTTAAGCAATAGAGCGATCTCTCCCTCGGTGTGAACCTGTTGATGTGTTGGGGGTTGTTACCGCTTCGACTGCCACCTTTCCGACATCTCCCTTGCCGGCGAACTTGCCGCAGTGGGATATGAAGTTTTTGAGGTCCCCTCTATTCATGGCTTATGAACCGTTCATTTACCTTGTGGCTGTCATCGGATTTCACCTTTCGGTAACGATCGCTCCTTGATACCGTATTATGCTCTCAGCGGTCCTTCGATCCGTAGCTTGTACTCGAAGACAGTACGAATTTCATTGTGACTGGTCAGCCTGTTCTTGATTCTCGCACGCTAGACAACACTGTCGGCGTCAGCTTCGGGATGGTGATTCAAGCGTCTCCTAGCTGATTGGACAACAACTATCGACCTTATCGTTGACTTTGAAGTGACAATTGAGAAATCCGCTTCTACATACCGCAACATTATCATCGGGCTATGAAGCCTCGAAAGCACAAGAACCGCATCAATAACAATTCAGTTCTCGAGCTTAACGTTCCCTGACAAGCATGGTGTTCCAAAGTCTAAAGGATCCGGAAATCTATTTAGAGATTCGGCCGGCATGGAGCGGCTTCCAGAGGATATGGAAGATGACGAGACCTGGCTGAAGTTTCGACCGCACCACAAGGTCTTCAGATGGAGTCTTATAGGACAATGCAGAGCTAGCCATGTTTTTTCCCCTCTGGTGGCTTGAGTGTTTTTTGGCTCGATTGTTTCCGAGGTCTCGACCGTACGTAGTTGCGGAGTCCGTCTTTCCTCTTTTGGGTCAAACCTTGAATCGTGGGACATGGTTTGGGGCTGTCTGGTCTGTAGACGTGCTCCAAGGCTTAACATACCTCCTTACACAGGCAATACTAACTCCGAACATTCAATCCAGCAGCGACTCATAAAGTGAATGAGACATGGTAACATCACCTATCAGAGAAAATTGAGCCAAAGCTAAACGACCCTGCAGTCATTGTGGAACGGGTATGTGGAGCACCACCTTTTGGTCGTATTAGAGTCGCCGATGTTACTCACATGATCAATGGGATCCACGCGATACGCTGGGTGTACATCGTTTCGGAGTCTGTGTTTTCTCTTTTGGACCACATCTTGAGCCTGGAGATATTTCCAGGGGGTTATCGTCTCGAACAATATTCCAGGGCTCCATGCCCCCACTCGAATAGGCAATACTGACTCTGGAGTTCTGCATCGTTTCCTATAGTACCTAAGGATTAGTTGCGTAGGGCTTTTTAATTGGCTTTGTGCCTGCGAACCATTACGTTGCGGTCATGGACGCTCAGGTGAGGTTCAAAGTGCCCCGGCGCGGGCTTTGGTTCAAAGACAAGAGGAACAGATATCCTTCAAACCACCCGAGCCTTGGGCCGTATTCCTGCCAGATCTCATCGCACAAGACTATTTCTACCACAACATACCAAAAACTCCATCGTCTACGTAGCTTACTTAGGGTTAGGGTAAAAACAAGAAACCGTGGGGCTTGACTAAAAATTAGATCATTGAAGGCGCAAATCCATTTATGCAGACGGTAGGTCTTTCATATCCTTGCTCTGTAATTGTATTGATGATTCGATGAGGATCAACGACGACTAGTTGAGCGGTTCTATTACGCCGTGGGCCATCCAGTCCGTGCTTCCGTGCGTCTGCGGCAGAGAAAAGCGAGCCACAAGAATTCTGCATGCCGCTAATCGGATTAACAATGCAGCGTCGGAACGTCCAGTGAGAGCCTTCGGCGGCTAAGTAAGGCTCTGTGACTGGAGCGGAGCGTCGCCTTGGAGGCAACAGCTTCTTAGGACCCATGCAAAGGAAGCATTGTCAAAATCCGAGTGGCCGCAGCAAGTTGTGCCTGCCTGGCAGCCTAGACGATTCGTAGAGACAAGGCTACCGAAAGCAGAGACCTGCATTGTGATCGTTGCGCCTCTCAAACTCGGTGCAACAACACAACTCTGATCCTATTATCAAACACCTCGTGTTGCAGCCATCAAGGATATTTATTACTCCGATCTGTCCATCATCGCTGTCTTTTCGAGTTGACCTGAAACTTGTGCTTCCTCCTATTCTTTCTACTACCGACGGATGCCGTGACATCGAACCTTTTCATTTATTCTACAGAAAGATAATGTTGGATCGAGGTGAAGGAAGTGTCCAATCATCAGAAAGCGAATCAGAGAGTATGGAGGTTCCCCGAGAAGGGACTCCCGTATCAGTGGGGAGCAATGAAGTGAAGATTGTGGCTCTCGGCGAAGGCAACGACAAAGCTCCAGATGATAAATCTCTAGAAAGTGAAAAGGAGAAATCAAATCCGAGGGCCTCAGTGCTGGAGTACAAGAGCGTCAGCCAGATGTATGTTCAACGAGTCCCAGCTATACACCCGTCACTTGAGATCGGCTGCTTACATTCCACTAGCTGGGACAAAGATACCTATGGTCGCAAGCTTGTCGACTCTCTGGAGGATTCTTCCAAGAAAACGGACAAGTATGAGGAGTTCATCTTCGTCGTCCGACGACAATATGGTGCGCCTGTGTACGGTATCTATTCGCAATGGTGTTGACTATGAACTAGATGACCACAACATGCATTTCAAAATATTCATAGACATTAAATCGGAACTTCTGAGAGACGTCTTGCGGCAAGTCTTGCAAGTGATTCCTACAGTCTCCCTGCATGGAGACAAGCCAGAGGTATGGTCGGTCCCAGAAAATATAGATCTGTACCACTTACGCCACCTTAGATACGGATAGAGATCCTCTTCCACTTCTTGTCCCAAATCGAATCCAGGCGAGACATTACTAAACTCGATTCCGACAAAGAGACGCAGCACCTCGATCTACTCATTCGCTTCCTTCAGGAGCACTACGCATCCATCATAAAGACTCTACCCGAACTTCTCGGACGTGGCGAAATGACCTTCGACCTTCTCTGGACTCTCTTTCCCCCAAATACCGTGGTGTATACCTCCTGCGTCTACTCCGAAGAGCCGAAATGCCTTATTTTTGACTTTGGAGAGGAGAAACTCCTCAAAAAAGGCAAATTTTACGTTCTCCAATGTCGTTATCTTGACTTCAATGGTAAACTCCTTGGTGAAGTCATGAGCAACCTTTTGATTCCGGAATTCCGCGGGGCGAAACCAATTACGTCTCTGGAAGCATTTCCACTGAAGTACCACCAGGAGGTGGCCAAGGTCAAATCAGAGCTGATAGAACGAGGTCGTCGTTTTGCATCATTGAAGGGTATCCATCACACTGCTTACCAAGGCCTTGCGCACCAAAAGCGAAAAGGCGAACCGTTCAAGTTCTCTGTGAAAGGCCGGATAATGGTGGATCCGATCGCTTTCAAAGAGCACAATCCCAATTACGAAAGACCACGAGTCGATGGGTTGTCGGGTCGTGATATTCTAGGTATACGCATCGACGTTCTCAATGAACTCCTCGTCGAAGGGCTTGGCCTTACAGATGAGATCAAACACCACGGCGTAAAGGACAAAATGGGCGAGATGAGAGACGAAGAATTCTTGGTTTGTGGGCCTACTGTCTTGGGATTCAGTCTCGATAGACGAGCATGGGGTAAGGCTCCCTCTGTCTCCGCATTTGTTGGAAAAGGTCATGTTTTGTTTTCCAGACAATGCTGATACCAACTGAATAGCGGAGTTCGCTGTTTCCGCAATACAAGATATCACATGGACCACCCTACCATTTGATACGCTTGTCATTCCAACCAAGACAAAGGAAATGTTGCAAGCACTCGTGCATAACCAAATACCTGACCCAGACAAGCCTGCTTTTGACGACTTCATAGAGGGAAAAGGCAAAGGATTGATTGTGCTACTACAGTACGTTGCCAGCTTCATTTTTGCGGCTACACATTGCTTACTATTGCAGTGGTCCACCGGGAGTGGGAAAAACTCTGACCGCCGAGGCCGTTTCGGAATATCAGAAACGACCGCTATATCGAGTTCGTCTTCCCAATAAGACCAAAATCTGCGCCGTCTACTGACTCTCGACAGGTATGTGCCGGAGACCTAGGTCTCGACTCGGAAAAGCTCGAGGACCGGCTCGCGATGATCCTCGACCTCGTCGCCCGCTGGAAGGCCATCTTACTCCTCGACGAGGCAGACGTCTTCCTCGAAGCTCGTACCCAACACCACCTCCAGCACAACACCCTCGTCTCCGTCTTCCTGCGGCAGTTGGAGTATTTTCAAGGCGTAATGATCTTGACCACGAACAGAGTGACCGTCTTCGATGAGGCGGTCCAGAGTCGCATACACCTCGGTATCAAGTACGATCAGTTGAGCAAGAAGGCCAAGGCGGAGATCTGGTCTGCCTTTATTCAGCAGGCAAATAAAGTCTCAACGACCGGAGAAGGGGCCAAGCTCTCTTCGAAGCAATTGGACGATCTTAGCAGGAGGGAGTTCAATGGACGACAGGTAAAACCATTGCCAAATCCCTACAAAGGGCCTTTGCTAAAGACCGAGTGCAGATCAAGAACACAGTCCGTATGGCTCACGCTTTTGCGACAGCGAAGGGCATACCACTTGGGTACGACCACCTCATGGCTGCCATTGAAGCGAACGAAGACTTCGACAATGATTTCCGAGGAGCAGGGCAGGCTGCGAGCGCGGCGTCATATCTTTAGAGGTTTGTCGACCTGTCTAGCACTATCTAACGCCTTGTGTGGCGAGGAGATTTTTGGGGCCGCGAGCAAATTCGTCTCGGTTTGATTCTTCTTTTAAAGTCAAGCCATTGGAAAGTAGCTTTCATGTATAGATGATTTCGCTTGTGGAAAACAAGCGGGTTTGGGCAGATCGTCCGACATCTGCCTGTCCGAGTGTAGAAGTGCGTGCTCTCTTGGAGTAGATTAAATCATTCCAATCACACACTATGCACCCTCATCATGTCATCTCAAGTCAAACGCAACGGTATCACCCAACGCCATACTCCTGCGCTCGCTTTTTTCCAACCCCCACATCCTGGCTGGAACCCGTCGTCATTGCAAACAAATCCCCAAAAACTCCTCCCGATCAATCGCCCCATCCCCGTCCAGATCAAACTCCTCAATCATAGCCGCCAGCTCCTCCTCCTCCAACCCCTCCCCCAACTCCCTCGCCACCCTTCTCAAATCGCTCAGATTGATCTTCCCCTTTCCCCCCTCATCGAACAGCTCGAACGCCCTGAGAATTTCCTCCCTGGGATCCCTCGCTAGTATCTTCTGCGCCATCACGGTCTGGAATTGCGGGAAGGGGAGGAGGAGGCGGGAATTGCTGTGCGCGTATTGTTGGTTGTTGTTGTTGTTGTTTGAGGACGTGGGAGGAGGGGGGGGGGCGGAAGGGGAGCCGTGGGTTTGCAGGATGGAGAGGATTTCGGACTTGGGGAGGTCGAAGCCGAGGGCTTTCATGGCGACTTTGAGTTCGTGGTAGTCGATTTTGTTGTCTTTGTCTAGGTCGAAGAGGTTGAACTGCAAGCGGTGTTGCCAACACATTAGCCCTGCTGTTCTAGGTCCTGCCCCGACAATTTTCTCTCTCTCCCCCTTTCTGCACTTGTCTGCATGTTTCGAAACCCCCGTTCGAACAGCGCACATTGGGCCGAGGAACTCACAGCTTCTTTTATCTCCTCCCTCTGCTCTTCCGTCAACTGATTCTGCTCTTCCCGCTCCAGCCTTTCCTTCTCCAACCTTTCCCGCTCACGCTCCAGACGGGCATTCTCGCGCTGTTGTTGGGTGGTGGATGCGCCGAAGGTCGGGGCCATGGAGCGGTCCGGCAGTTTGCCAAGATTGCTTGGGTATCCTCGCGACGGGAAGGATGGGTGAGTTGAGGATGCCATAGGGAAAGAGGGTCTATTTGTAGTGTGAGGGTTGTCGGACTTGCTGATGAAGCTTTCATTGTGTCAAGGTCGGATCGCGACTCGGGACGCGTCGCGCTAATTAATCAAGGGCTTCAAGCCCTTATCGACGGTGGGGTCGTTTGCGAGGTTACCGAGAACGGTTTCCGACAGTTACGGCCCTCTTTGCTTGCCCATTCTCTGAGGAAACATTCTGGGAATGGTCTGTTCTGTGCGTAAGCAAGAAGTGCACATTAGTAGCTGCAGCTTGCAATGCAGCTTGCAAAGGTACAGCCAGCTGCGAATACGATGAGCTTCCGCTTTGCGTGATAATTGCATCATTTCCTTCCGAGCAAACCAACAGCATTCAATTCTACCTTCACACCTCGATATTCTGACAGCACGCGGTTACAAAAATCACAGCCCACATAGCCAAAATGCCCTACATCATCATAGTCGGAGCATCGCGAGGCCTAGGAGCCGAACTAGCCAAACAGTACGCCTCAAACAACACCGTATTCGCGACCAGTCGCTCGGACAAGGCCCCAGAATCATCCAAGAATATTGAATACATCGCCAACATCGACGTCGCCAAGGAAGATGCAGGCCAGAAACTCGCATCCCATATCGGCAAGAAGACTCTCGACACCGTCATCATAACAGCCGGCTACTTCGCAACCGAGTCCTTCGGCTCACCCTCATGGGACAACCAAGTCAAAATGTACACCACCAGCTCCATCGGTCCTGTATTCATTGTGCACTACCTCGTCAAAGCTGGCCTGCTCGCCAAGGGGAGCAAGATTATACTTGTCAGCAGCGAGAGCGGCAGTATCACGTTGAGGCATGAGAGCGAGGGAGGAGGGAATTACGGACATCATGCTAGCAAGAGTGCGTTGAACATGGTTGGGAAGCTATTGAGTCTGGATCTGAAGGAGAAGGGCGTAGCGGTGGGGATTGTGCATCCGGGGTTCATGAGGACGGAGATGACGAGAGGTGTTGGGTTTGATAAGTTCTGGGATGATGGCGGCGGTAGGGACCCATCATCTCCCGCATGGCTTTGTGTGCCATAGCACTAATAGGCTCTTTGGTATAGCTGTCACGCCAGACGAAGCCGCTAAGTCCCTGATTAAGTTCATCGAGACATTCGACATAGAGAAAACAGGTGAATATTGGGCGCCCCGCGGACCACGGTAAGCACCCTCTGGCCCATATCAGCTGCGCTGCCAACTCATGCTCGATATAGGGATATCGGGACTGCGGAAGCTGTACTAGGCAAGGATCTGAGCACGCCTCTACAATTACCTTGGTGAGGTAAGGATCGGCAATTGGGGACGAAGATCTGTGGAATTAAAAACGAAGTTTGGAGCAGAGGTCTGGCAAGCAATGATGAGTGCCTCTAAGGCTCTGAAATACTTACTGTGCAACAGCTATCAAGACCAACCGTCCTTTTCCCCACCAGCGTTTGACCTGAACAGATGAAGCATTCACGCTGGAAGATATAGGCTGCGCTCCAGATGGTCCACAAATCTTGCTCCCTATCGATGGCGTCTGCTGTTCACTGCTGCTTGGGCTGGCGATAAAAACTCCCGTTCTGAGAGAACCCGCAACGAGGGGCTGCTTCAAGGTGCTGAAAGATCGTCTTAGACTATTTCTCACGGAATGATTCTCATGCAATTCTGATACATGGAGTGCCACCTCGACGAGGCCAGTGACCCCTCGCTGTATGGCACACTTCCTACCATCTTACTCAAGAGCCAAATGCCGGTTGTGGTATCCTCGTCATGCTGACCCGATTAGCTAGCGCTTATAATTCCTGTTGGGAGCAATGGTTGCTGCTGTTGCCCGGTACTTGTGCAGCATTGCTCCTTCGTTGTGGACATGACATAGGTAGGCCGCAGGGGCTCATTTATGTGCTCATTTCACATTCGCGAGATTCGTTTCCAACAATTGGGTTGGCTATCTAGTAAGGTCATGTAGCAAGAGCCATGCATAAGGTAGAGGGAGGTTTTGGCTGGCGAAGAGTTTGAAAGGTTCGTGAGGGCTTTTCCACGCTGACTTACTTTAGCTCTTGCAAATGGATAAACGCCTCTTTGGCTACCCTCCGGCTCGCATCCGGGTGCCGTCCATATTCTTCAACACCGGTGCGGACAGGGCTTCAACACTCTTATAAACACCATCTCAATAGATCACTTTCCTAGACAAAGCACCGTTTCAGCATTCCCTTCAGCTTTGCGCTTTGTCCATACCCAACCTCAACATTCCACTCCCGGTCTTCTAGCTTCCTCGTCTACAAAAACACTCTCAACAAATTCACCAAAGCTCCGCCTTAATTCGGAGCCCAACTCAGCAAGCGCCTCAGAACAAGCGCTCCAGCTAAGTCGCGGACCTTCAACGGGTAACAGTCAGCAGTCAAGCTACAACTTGGACAACCCATCTTCGATGGGGAGCTTTACCCGCATTCCCACAGAAGTGAGGATGATCATCTATCGCCTTGTACTCCCCGAACAATGCCGTGGCATTCTGCCAATCTCTACGATGTTACATCAGAGCTACGAACTAGGTCAACTCGTCTACCAAAACGCTGCCATCTTTCAGACTTCGAAAGCAATCAGTCGGGAGGCAATGGACGTGTTCTACTCAGAAACCCTGTTCAACATTAATCCCTGGAAATTCAGCCCACGGCTAAATAAGAAGCATCATCTTACTCATCCAGGGCTGCCCCTCACTCAGAATGTGCGTTTTCGGATGGATTAGATGATGTACGATCATATCTACGAGGACGATACTGAATACGAAGCGTCAGTCTGCCGTCACATCATTCTCGGCTTCAGTGGACCGGCGCCACCGAGAAATACCCTTCGACTTAAGCTAGAGATTGATGGATGGATGGGTTTTCGGGTCGTGGAAGACTGGTTTCTTCCAAGACCTCGCGACTATGACGGGTTTTCGAAGTGTTATTATCAACTTTCAACCATCACGACGCTCACGGTCTGTACTGTGGACACCCTCGTACAAGCAGATGTTCAAGAGAGCTGGAGGTTGGGGGGAAGTCTGGTCGTTGAACAGTTGGCTCCAAGCTTGGGCCCTGGAGTTGTGGAATTCCGTCGGTCAGAATGTCGTGCTTCGTTCCAACCACGCGCGCATCTAGCAGGAAAAGCCGCGCGCAAAGGTCGGGTTCTTTGATAGGTTGGCTGATAGTGGGATTCGAGCTAGTGGGGTATGAAGAAAGCGAGATTGGAAATCGAAAGTGACGGAGACTTTTGATCAACTCGAGGGGATATCAGCCTGCTCGACGCGTCTACCAAGGATCTTTGAGCATTCAAGCGTTGATCACCTTATCTCGTGATTTCAAGCCCATCTGGAATGCCATGCGGCACCGTGGTCTTTGGGAATGACCCTTCTGCAGTCTTCACGCCCTTGATTTCAAGCACGATAGTTATGTCAGCAAATTTGTGATTGTCTTCAATTCGTAAAGCCGTCTTTTGGAGAAGCCTGATCACGTGACGGAATCTTGCGTGTCTATGTCTTTCCGATCCCTCGACAGATAAGACTCGACAGCTAAACGGAGGCGGTACAATTTCCCAGCCACAGATATGCATCCATGATCTTGGAATGAGAGGAGGCCAAAAGCAAGTACTGGATCGCACTTATCCAGAACAAATAGTACAACTAAACATGGAAAGTGACTATCTACATCACCACACAATCGGTACCCTTACGCGCTCCCCAACTCGACACTTCCCTTCTAGGCCCTCTTTCGGCAAGAACTGGTGCTGTCTATACGGCGGCTGCTAGACTCTAATCGCCCACGTTCCCAGAATATGGGTGGCGCGGTCATGGACGACGGAAATCTTGGTTCCAAAAAGCTCGTCGTGGCAGTCGCCTCGCCACGCCTCCTGCGGGCATCTTACCATATCATAAGCGTGGCACATCTCATGCAGCAAAGTGCCGAACGTGATCGCCACGGGGTTCTTACCGATCTCGCGCCACTTCCTCGTGAAGATTTCCCCCGCGCTCAACCTGATGTGGCATTGTCCCGTCTTGCAGTACGCCGCTTCTCCCACCCTCCCATCCGGATTCACCACCTTGACCCACTGCACCGCGACGTGACCCCGGAGTCGTCCGCCGAAGAAGACACGGTCGAGGTCCGCGAAAGCCTTGATCGCGAGGTCGGGACCGAAGAGGAGGTTTTTTTCGGCGTCGTGAACGGCGACGGCTAGGTTCCGGATGATAGCCAGTTCCTCTCGGGGGGGTGCTCTCTTCGCGTCGTTCCAGCGCATGACTTCTTCTGTTGCTTGAATGGCAGTCACAAAGGGGCCTTTGTTTGGTTTTTCGAACACGCCATGGTGGTGGAAGTCAATCTCGCTCTGCGTGCACGGGTAGGACGATCCGCTGTTTTCGCGGAAATGGGTGAGAGCAGATTTATACAGCTTTTTGCTGAAATTTGTCATCGCGTCCTCTGTCTCTTGGTGTCCTTTATCTCGCTCCTTATGTTGGTGTTTCCCGTCGCTGGGCTCTCCTTGACGGTGTTCCTTGGTTCGATGCTTGTCGTGCCCATGTTCGTCACGCCCATGTTGCTTGTGCCGGTGTTCCTTGGGCTCCTTGGGCCGATGTTCCTTGGTTCGATGTTCGTCGTGCCCCTGTTCGTCACGCCCATGTTCCTTGTGCCGATGTTCTTTTGGCCCATTCTCCTCATGCTCATGTTCTTTCGGCCGATGCTCCTTGTGCCGATGTTCTTTATGCCGATTTTCCTCATGCTCATGTTCTTTCGGCCGGTGCTCCTTGTGCCGATGTTCTTTATGCCGATTTTCCTCATGCTTATGTTCCTTAGACCGGTGCTCCTTATGCTGATGCTCTTTTGGCCCATTGTCCTCATGCTCATGTTCTTTCGGCCGGTGCTCCTTGTGCCGATGTTCTTTATGCCGATTTTCCTCATGCTCATGTTCCTTAGACCGGTGCTCCTTATGCTGATGCTCTTTTGGCCCATTGTCCTCATGCTCATGTTCTTTCGGCCGGTGCTCCTTGTGCCGATGTTCTTTATGCCGATTCTCCTCATGCCCATGTTCCTTCGGCTTGTGCTCCTTGTGCCCATGTTCTTTTTGCCGATTCTCCTCATGCCCATGATCCTTCGGCCGGTGGTCCTTGTGCCGATGCTCTTTTGGCCGATGTTCTCCATGGCGGTGTTCTCCTTGCGGATATTCCGCATGCTGGGCTTTCTTCTCTTCCAAAAAGCCATTCACATCGTTTTTGTTACCTTGTCCATCCTTGATGCCGCCTCGAGTAGACTGGTGGCACGAACCCTTGTTCATACCTTCAGGGCTGTCCGCAGAACCCCCCATGCCTCCATCATCGAAGTCGTGTCGAGGCATATCTTGATTCGTGTGATGGTTTTCGGGCGTGTAATAGTAGTGGAGTGTTAAACTACGTCGAAGGTTTATTCATGAAGTATAATTGTTGTGGGGAGAAATCCAGGATAAGATAGAGAAGAAGAGAACATTCCACTACTTCTTTGACTTACAACACGGTCAATAATACAATGCCGTTGCAAACATTCATTGTGCTGGACAATGAAAACCTATATGACTTTCATCGTCGTTCTTGAGAGTATTTGTTCGAAAGAACAATGGTTTCATGGCTAGTCTTTTTGTGCGCCGATGTTCCAAAAGGGCTCTTTTGATTCTCAACAATACCAAAAAAGCAGGACATTGCAGAAGGCTGATGGAAGTTTACCTAAATACTTCGTTGCTCACTAGTCCGCCTCCATCGCACCCAAAGCACAAGTCACATCATCCCGTACTCCTCGTGGGAATCCTTCGATGAATACTCGATGTTTCTGAACAGATGTCGGTATCCAGAGATTTTCAATGATCGGTGGAGCTACTCCCCGTAATCCTACATCAAATGCAAGGAGAGAGACCTCATCTCAACTCAAGATCAGGAGCCTTACCAACCACTCTCCCGCGGACCATACAGTCCTGATATATTGCGGAAACCCAACGAGCTGTGGAGACTCTTTTGTGGCACAAGCACAAGCACAAGCCAGGTAGGTAAAGGTCATTGTACAAACGAGGTCCTGGCTGAGACAAGAAACGATGAGAACCACCAAGCCAAGAAAGCCCATTGGGCGAGGCAGGAAAACTGTTTTCCGTGGTTGAATCAGTAGGGCGTTTACTGACCGTTCATCCATTCTAGTAGAACACAAGCCTCAGCCGCTCCAGGACGATCATGTAACATCCTAAGCCCAAGACTATTTCACACAGACCTGGCGGATCCACCTGATATTGAGCTTTAGAGAAGAGAACCCGCAGACGTCTGGGAGATTTTGCACAAAACAAGGATGAGGCGTCGTCGTGCAACGTCGGACGTCTTTCTACACATCGTGCCAACTAGTCCTCGCCATATGTGGAGACCAACCTTTTCATCCACTATCAATTTTCGTCCGGAATATGAGATTATCGTAGAAGTGAGATGTTGGTGGAGTGAAACTATATCGAAATGCTCTCCAAAGCCTAGGGTGCGGCCGAGACATTAGACCGAGCAGATCCAAGGCTAGGACGTACTTTGTAGTCAGTCCTCGTTCATTTGAGAGCGTGACGTGACTACCCTCGAGGGTTCGCTATTGTTAGACTTGGCGAGCACTGTTGTATCGAGCAATTCGCGACATGCCTTATAGTCCGGCCTAATGCTAAGGAATCAAAGAAATTATAACATACGTACGCAAAGATGATAAGATGCAAGCTCGAAGACTTGACTAACATGAGGGTTCAACTGTATACTTGTAAGAAAGCCTGGCAATTTCAACGAATCAACACGTGGGTTTTCATATGGTAGTTAGGGCCCTAGGGCGGCGGTTCGTGCTGCAAACATGTCGGTCTGAGGTCTTTAAGTGAGGCTCAGATCTCAGCCCCGGCTACGCGCGTTCTTGCAGGGAGAGGGTATAAATACCTGATCATCTTTGCGAGATGTTCGTTTCAGGTCCAAGGTAGACCTCTCTATTACCCTCGACCCTCAATTTTCAACACCTACGTAACCGACCGAGGAGCGCACCAGAGGCGATATATGCAGGTATAATTGACCTGGTCGACAGATCTAACAACCTTGCTGAGATAACGACAATCCTACCAATACTCCATCTCCGAGCATTTTGGGATATTTCTGGGAATTCGTGCAACGTCGAACGTCTTCCTAGATATTATGCTGTATGAAGAACTGGATATCATGAAGTTTCAGAGATAAACAACGAATGAGAAAGAGGTCTCGCGATAGGAGATGCCAAGATGCCCTAATCTCGAAGTGCTGGACCGGGTAGCTCTCTGCCTCCAAGCTGGGACCAGATAAAACCCCCTGAAGACCACCGAAACATCGGGTCCGTTACTTAGACCACGACGACGGAAGACTCTAGGCTGCACAACCCTTCGCTCCTTGACAGATTCCACGTCACGGATATGGGAGCTGACGGGTTTTCTCAATTCAAAACAATCTTAACATCGAGACATCACAGTGAAATCCGATCATCAAGGCCATTGCCCTGGGAAGAGCTGCTGAAGAACATTCAAGAAAACAATACGTACTGGGGCTCGCAACCCTTGATGTCTACGGCACTCCGAACCTTGCCCCCTCTCTATTCATTCCGCAACGTCTCGGGTTCCGCCGCCTGTAAAAACACGCCTACGACAAAGTCCGCCTGAATGGATTCTTGCAAGGGAGTTCGCGACTTTATCTCTTTCCCAAGGACTTCCCACAGGAATGGTTTTTTTGGGCAATTTTGCCTTCAGCCGTGTCTCAATTGCCATCAACGGCATCTTGGCTCACTATCGGACGGGCTCCAGTACCATCTGCGAGAAAATTGCCATGGTGTTCTGGATTGCTTCCACGATATGGATCGGCGGTGGGGTTAAGAGTTTTAAGATCAATACTAGGAATATGGTCACTTCTGCTTCCACTTACTTCGACTTGGCTATAGTACCTTTCCTCTGCTTGGATATTTGTTTATGTATGGGGGATTTTTTATATTTTATTTTTTTTTTTCCCCCCCCCCCCCTGGGGTTGGTTTTGGTGGGGAAACCCCCCCAAAATTTTTTTTTTTTTTTTTTTTCCTTTTTTTTTATTTTTACCCCCTGTTTATAAATGTTCCTTAAAAAAAATGCGTAACTACGTAATATGGCCTTTTTGAAATTCTTGAAAAAAAATCGAATAAATAGTTAAATAAGTCTTTATTAAATTAGAAGTTGTAATATAGTAATTAAGAAGTAAGCTTTTAATTTTATTTTACTAAAAAACTTAGCTAACTTAGCTATAGTAGCGATATTAATATTTAAAAATACTATATATCTTAATAAACGCGTAGTATTATATAGAAATTCCTTTATAGTATATTAATTCTCGAGATAATCGCTATAATACTCGCCGAATCGACGATATAGCGTATTAGGAAAAATGCGTAACCTTATTAGTTAGTTTATTACTTCGATTAAACGCCGTAATCTCCTCTTATTTTTTATAATCTCCCTCTATTTTTAGAACGACTAGGTTTATAAGAGTCGTTATAGCGATAAGTTATCGTAGCGATAGATGTAAATAAGTAAGTAAGTAAGTAAGTAAGTAAGTAAGAAGAAGAAGAGAAGGAGAGAGAGTATCGTCGCGATAACTTATCGCTATAGCGATCTTATAAATAAAAAGTAAGTAAGTAAGAAGTAAGTAAGTAAGAGAAGAAGAAGAAAAAGAAGTAAGTAAGTAAGTAGAGTATCGCTACGGCGATATATAAAATAAATAAACGATTAAACTTATAGAGAGTAGAAAGAGCGAAGCGAGATAATTTATTTTTTAATATAAAGTTAGATATTAGTAGCGATAATATCGATAAATAAGAATATCTTATACGACGTCGAAGTCTCTTATAGATATATAAAATATAGAAAAGATATCTTTAAATATAGAAAGACTATATTATTATTATAAACGATCTAATTAAATATTACTTAATTATTTTAACGCTATAATTTTAAGAAAATAGTAAAAAATATTAAACTCTAGATCTATTAGTAATTAATATATTTCTTATTAAAGAAGATTAAAAATTAAGTAATATTTCTTTTTACTTTAAGAATTTTTAATAGAATCTTCTTATATAGAGTTATATAAAAAAAAATTAAAGCGATAATAAAGCTTTATAATTATACTTTCTATATATAGTATATTAAATAATTAAATTATATTAGAAATATATTATTAAATAATTTATTAATAAATCTTTACGCGTAAGATTTATTTAGAAGAGTAATATAATAAGATAGAGTATAATAAGTCTATTATATATAATAACTTTAATTCGAATAATATTAAATAAAAAGAGAAAGAAGATTATAACTAATTAGAAGATTAATAAAATAAAGAGATAAATTAATAAAGAATAATTAGTTTAAATATAAAAGAGATCTTATTAAGAAGAGATCTTATCGAGATCTTAGTAAGAATTTCTAGATCTTACTAAGTAGATCTTATCTTTAATTATTTTCTATATTATTAATTAATATCTAATCTATCTATTATCGCTATAAAGTCTATTTTATCTATTATTAAATATTCGCTAATAATCTTCTAATCTTTTACGCTTATATTTTACTCTAGAGAGAAAGTAAAAGTAATACTTCGTCGAAGATAATTAATATAGCTAAAAAGAGAAAGATAAAAAAGATAAAGATTAAAAAGATTTAGAATATAATAAGTATAATAAAAGAGTTAGAATTAAGTCTTTACGACTTAGTAAAAGATATATAGAATTATTATTAAAAAATCTTATATAAGGCGAATTTCTATAGCGTAACTTTCTTATAAAACTCTATATTAAAGTTAATCTTTTATTTAATATTATATTAAAGAATAATTCGACTAATAAGTCTATTAAATATATCTAGCTAAATTATTAGAAGGCCTCGCTAGAAAAAATAGAGTAGATTTCGAAGTTATTATAAAAAGAAATTCTCGCTATTAATAATTTAAATCTTTTTAAAAAATAAAATAAGAATACTAATTTAAAGGGGCTCTATAATATAAAATTAAAAGGGTTATTAAAGGCTATTAAAAAGGAAGTATTATATACTAATCGATTTTTATCGATTATAATATAGTTCTAATATATAAAAAAGAATAAAAAATTTCTACGACCTTAATTTAATTTTATTATAATAATTTTTAATATTATATATTTTTAATAGTAGAAGATTAAGACTAATTTAATTTCTATTTAATTAGATATTCTTATATATTCGCGTAAAGTTAAATAATTAATTCTTAAGCTTTATAATCGACTTAGACTAATTATTCTCTATAAAGAAATTCTATAATATATTAAGAAAAGTAGCGATTTAGA